GGAGGTAACCAATAATAGCATTAACTACGCATTTCAACACATGTAACCAAAAAGTTACGTCCACGGCTTTGTGAGGTTCACCCTTCATGTGAGTCTACATACCTTGAGGTTATCTTGAGGTGCTTCCGGGGCTTAGCGTCCCCGCGGCCCGGAAGAATCATGAAATCATGAAATCTCACACATTCACACTGTTGTGCTGGAGAACATACACACACACACACGATCACAATATGCTACTGGAGACCATGTATGCAAGTACAGATGGAGGCCAAGTTTCCTGTTTAACCTCATGAAACAGGAGACAGTGGGTCATGAACGACCCATTGGCTCATGTTTCCATTTTACTGTCGTAGTGTTGAAGGAAGTGTCACTCTGCGTTCACCGTGACACTTCCGGTCTTCAATATTCAAAGAGCCGTAGGCTTAGTTTTTAATCGCCAGATTTGGTTTTCATTTTCCAAATGTTATTCACTTTGAGGAGGCAATTTTTCCCTGAGCAATAATCAATTTAACAAAAACAAACCTAATAAAGTGCATGTTTACAACATGTTTTAAGACACTTCATATTCCACTTAAAAAAAAAAACAGGTAGGCCTACAGCGTATTCTGCTAGAACACACAGACATAATGCAAATCCTGATCCAGGTGATGAGTCACAATAACGTGGCTGAAGTATGGTGACCAGACCACACACTAGAAGGTGAAGGGACGACGACGTTTCAGTCCGTTCTGAACCATTCTCAAGTCGATCTTGAGATCAACATGAGAATGGTCCAGGACGGACTGAGACATTCGCAAATCTTGTTTTTAGTGTGGAACAGATATACATATGTTGTGACGCCAGGTGTTGATTGTGTGGTTGCTGGTGTGGTGCCTGGTGGTGTCCAATGGTTACCGCTCCTCCCTGGTGGCCCACCTCACCGTCCAGGGGAAGACGTCTCCCATCAACACCTGCCAGGACCTCCTGAGGCAGCGGGAGTGGTCGTGGGGCGTGAGGGCGCTGCAGGGGACGGTCCTCCTCTACTTCAACCAAACTACTGATCCTGATATTCGCGAAATTTACAAAAGGGCGAAGGCGAGTGATGTCTTTGCAGATTATGTTTTGGTTTGTGTCTTCTTCGACAGAATGATAATATAATGCAAATTACACAAAACGCAGCATTTGTCTGCCAAGATGGAATCAAATCCTTTGTTCTGATATACAACAAGTCTTGAAGACGTTGACATCATTACGCTTTCCCAATTATAAATAATCTAAACACCAAATTTTGCATAATGAAACCACATGACTGATACATACATGAGAATATTCTGAACCCATGCAATGGGCTCGAACCCGCGTTTCTGGACTCGCAAGGACCGAAGAGTTCAAGGAATACGGTTTCAGCATTTCTCACTTCAGAGTTGCTCGCATGTTGATGGATGTCCTAATCTCCCCAGCTCCCCCCAATGTTGCGCCAGAGGTACTCAACAGCCGAGGCAATCCAGCTGCTACTGGCCGGTCGCTTCTCCTACATCACCTTCAAGACGGACACCATGATGGAGTTCGACTCCCACGACAGCTCGCCCTTCTACACCAGTTCTACCCAGTACCCCATGTTTGCCGGAGGGGCATGGGGCATCCGGTAAGCTGGTGCCATCGAGACACATAGATTCCTTCCCTCTAAATGTGAATGTTTCCATATTATATATATATATATATATATATATATATATATATATATATATATATATATATATATATATATATATATATATTTTTTCGTCTATATATATATATATATATATATATATATATATATATGTCGTACCTAGTAGCCAGAACTCACTTATCAGCCTACTATGCAAGGCCCAATTTGACTAATAAGCCAAGTTTTCATGAAATAATTGTTTTTTGACTACCTAACCTACCTAACCTAACTTTTTGGGTTACCTAACCTAACCTAACCTATAAAGATAGGTTAGGTTAGGTTAGGTAGGGTTGGTTAGGTTTGGTCATATATCTACGTTAATTTAAACTCCAATAAAAAAAATTGACCTCATACGTAATGAAATGGGTACATTTATCATTTCATAAGAAAAAAGTTAGAGAAAATATATTAATTCAGGAAAACTTGGCTTATTAGGCAAATCGGGCCTTGCATAGTAGGCTGACAAGTGCATTCTGGCTATTAGGTACGACATATATATATATATATATATATATATATATATATATATATATATATATATATATATATATATATATATATATAGGAGGGTACCACCTGTGGTGCAGTTGTGGGGACCCATAGCCTCGGAGAAGAAAATAGGGAGCATTCAGAGAAAATGTGTCGTTTGTCTCTGATTTCTTGAGTATCTGCTTCTCCTACCAGCCTTTTTTTTTTAATTGTAAACTTCATTGTATATGGTTACATGTTATACACAAACATTTACATCTTCTGAAGATGTATTATTAAATACGATACTACTTAAGGAGTTTCCTGTCTTAATCCTTCCTTCGTGGTTTGACACTGTCACAATGTCCAACACGTGTTAATTTCTTCGTGAAATTTCTTTACACACACACACACACACACACACACACACACACACACACACACACACACACACACACACACACACACACACACACACATACACACATGTATGCTAGGAGGAATATCCCGAGGTGTTGGGATAGTTCCCCCCCCCCGACCTCACCCTTCCCTCCCTCTCTCCTCTCTCTCCTTCTACACCTTCCCCCCTGCCCCGTTCTCCCCTCCCTCTCCCTCTCCCTACGACCTCGAACACACATTTGCTTTTATTTACATAGAAGGGGTACCCGGCTGCACGCGGGTCTCTTTCCCCTCTCTTTCCCTTGACCCCTCCCTCATGTATCCCATTGACCCCTTCCCCTCGTCCATCCCCCTGCCTCCCCTTCTCCCAGAAAATGTATTACTAAGACGCACCGAAACAAGTGTATGGGTTTCTTAGAAAATATAATACTACTATTACTAAAAACTCCACGGATGTCACACCACATATTTCGCACAAGAATCCAGGAAAATCACCTGGGAAGTGTCTATAATTGCTAATATTTCTTAAAAGTATTTATGCCTATCCTAACCAACCTATGTCCGCCCTGTACCCGACACCATTACCCCTGCAAATTTGAGTGAGACTATCCTCAAGCATCTGGCCTCCAACTGTGGACAGATATTCTCATAGTACAGTATATATCTTCTTTCCTCAGCCAGGGAGCACCGTTCCTCCATAACATAAACAAGATGATGTCAAGAATAATAGAAAGTGGACTGGTTGAGCTGTGGCTGGTGCAGCTCACGAAGAAGTATAACAGCAGGGCCAAGCTGGTCGGGGAGGCCAAGACTACCAGACCTCAGGTGAGACCAAACAAGGGAGGGAGAGAGAGAATTATCAAGGGAAAGTGCCAAGCCATTACGACTATATAGCACTTGGAAGGGGTCAGGATAAGGATTTGGGATGGGACGGGGGGGGGGGGGGGTGAAGGAATGGTGCCCAACCACTTGGACGGTCGGGGAATGAACGACGACCTGCATGAAGGGCGTCGCTCTACCGTCCAGCCCAAGTGGTTCGACCAAACAAGGGAAGGAGAAAGAGAGAGAATTGGAGACTCAATAAAGATTGCTAAAAACAAAATTTCACAATCTCAGATAGCTCGATAAACTGGAGGAAAATATATTTGATGATACATTTAGAGGTACTACATATTCTCTAATACATAGAGGTACTACATCTTCTTGATATCACCTTATGAAGAGTAAAATAAAGTTAATATAACCAGACTTTAATATGTGGCTCATGACCCCCCTGGACGCTGATACGAGTCACATCGTCCGGAAGATGTGACTCACACACCAACGTGTTTCAAAACCTACCTAACCTAACCTACCCTAATTTAATCCAACCGAGCCTGTACAGCCTAAGCTAAAACATCTTAACCTGACAATATATACGGTTTTATTAAGAAGAAAACGGGGTGTGTGGCATCATGTTGAGTGCGACTTGTACCACGTCCTTGACACAGTAAGTCAAGGGGCCAGATTCACGAAAGCAGTTACGCAAGCACTTACGAACGTGTACATCTTTCCTCAATCTTTGGCGGCTTTGGTTACATTTATTAAACAGTTTACAAACATGAAACTTCCCATTCAACTGTTGTTATTGTTATAAACAGCCTCCTGGTGCTTCGGAGCTCTTTAACTGTTTAATAATTGTAAACAAAGCCGCCAAAGATTGAGAAAAGATGCACAGGTTCGTTAGTGCTTGCGTAAGTGCTTTCGTGAATCTTGCCCAAGGACCTCACGACACCCAGCTCCTGCAGTAAATTATATTACCTTCCATAGGGTGAGGGTGCCCGGGTGGTGCTCAGCCTAGACCACCTGCAGAGTGCCTTCTACCTGCTGTTCCTGGGCCACGGGGCGGCTCTCATTGCTCTCCTGCTGGAGGTGTGTCTCTCCTGTGCCTGGTCCGGCTCTCCCTGAGTGCTCTGCAGGTTCTTGCAGGCCTTGCCATGCAACATTATATATTACCCACGTGAAAAAAGTGTACTGACCTACATGTTGGTCCATCAATATGTGACTATATTCAGTGACTCAAATTGTAATTTTGTCAATAAAGATGGAACTAATGTTCTTTCCTCCATTTTTGGGGGGCATAGTGTGTGTGTGTGGGGGGGGGGGGGGGCGGGGAGGCCAATAAATATGGACCTTTATTGGGAAAATTGTTTTATTAGAGGGGAAGGTATGACATTCTACAAGGGTGCAAATGTGTCTTGTAAATGCCTTTCATAGGGAACTGTATTATTGATAATGGTGATGTGATGATGGCGAGGTGAGATGGTGAGGATGGTGATCTTCCCGTGGCTGTCTCCCTCCCCCCCCTCTCCTGGGGCACACACCCCCCCCCCCTCCCCTCTTGTCAGCCACACCAGTGTGGAGGTGAGCGTATAGTGAGGCGCCAGTCCTGAGTGGACAGCGGTGTAGGCCACACCTACACACACTGCTGCTGGTGAGTACTCAAATCCCACACTCCCATCCACTCCATTTTGTCTTAAAAGATCACCTGAAGGTCAGTAGAATGACTTGGTCCCCTCACATCTAGTTTCTTATTTGTTAAGAATTTTAACAAATTATATTAATTTTAAATTTTGTCGTTGAGCAGAATTTATTAAACAAACTGGCTTACTTCTGAATCTTGTAGTGTACAAGTATTCTTATCACTGAAGGAATATTTCTTATCACTGAAGGAATATTTCTTATCACTGAAGGAATATTTCTTATCACTGAAGGAATATTTCTTATCACTGAAGGAATATTTCTTATCACTGAAGGAATATTTCTTATCACTGAAGGAATATTTCTTATCACTGAAGGAATATTTCTTATCACTGAAGGAATATTTCTTATCACTGAACGAATATTTCTTATAATTGAAGACCTATTTCTTATTACTAAAGGTCTATTTCTTATTAGTGAAGGCATATTTCTTATCAGTGGAGACCTATTTCTTATCAGTGAAGCCGTGTTTCTTATAAACATAGGCTTATTGCCTATAGAAGGCATCATCAAAAGAGTTTTATGTTTCACTTAAGAGATTGCATTACATTTATTATCCAATGCTCAACAATGCAGACGCAGCGACTCAAGACCCAACGCGTGCATCAGCCAACGAACTGTGCAGCCAAAATCCACAAAACCAGACGAGCCATCTTCTAAAATAATGATATGATGTCAAAATTTGTGTACGTTTAGAAGTCACTTTTAACTCTTAGTAGCGTGCTTCAGTACACGTCTACGCAGAGTTTAGACGTCTTCTCTAGAGTTTAAACGCAGCCTCACGAACGGGCTGATCCTCTAGCCTCTAGAGAGTCAGTCCATTCGTGAGGTCTAGGTGGCTGCGTTTTACTAGCCAGGTAGTCAAGGACGGGGGGGGGGGGGGGGGAATGTCTATAGACCCCGGGCAATGCCGGGTACCTATTCCGCTAGATAATTAATACTTTTACATCTTTTAATACTTGAAACGTATCTTTTGTTTCCACCACTAGTCCGTTGCATAACTTTAGGAATGTGAACTTTCAATCGTGACAACTTGTACACATCTTTGCAATAATACCTCAAATAAACAGTACCCTGATTCACGGAGCAGTTACGCAAGTACTTACGAACGTGTACATCTTTCCTGAATCTTTGACGGCTTTGGTTAAACTTTATTAAACGGTATACAAGCATGAAAACTTCACAATCAACTGTTGTTATTGTTATAAACAGCCTCCTGGTGCTTCGGAGCTCATTAACTGTTTAATAATTGTTAACAAAGCCGCCAAAGATTGAGAAAAGATGGACAGGTTCGTAAGTGTTTGCGTAAATGTTTCGTGAATCCGGGTCCTGGTCTTCAGCGGTCTAAATCAAACTTACATTTTTACCACACTGTAACATCTAGTTTACAAATTGACAAGTGATATATATTGGAAGAAAACAAAAGTGACATAGATACTGGACACCGTTTATATTAGGCTTGTGGTAAGACAACTGGAGGGACTAATATAAACTCGTCATACCAGGAAATTATAGACATTTGAACGTCCTCAATATTCATGTCTGACACAGAAATGCAATTTGCTTGAACCCTTCCCACATCTGCCACTATATACACCATATACACCTGCTGGCGTCTTTGAATAATGAGTCATTTGGAATTTATGATAAGATTTAGGATCTCGGGGAAATAATACAAATGATCTGACCTAAGCAAACTTATCCTAAGTTAACACAACCAACACAAACCAGAGTAACCAAGCCAAACAAAACCTAACCAGCCAATCTAACCTAACTTAAACGGGTTAGTTAGGTTAGGTATAACCAAGATAATTATAATCTTTAATACATAACATTCCAAAACAGAAAACCTTACAGTATTATTACAAAAGCGTTCCACAATGGCAGCATTTCAGGAACCAATGTACTAAATTCAAACAGTCGCGTGAATACGTTAATGGCGGTTACCAGCAAGGTGGTTTGGTTTAAATTTGACAGGACGCAACGGTTTGAACATAAGAGTAAAGGAACTGCAGAAGGCCTCTCGTCACATGAGACAGTTTCTATTTATGTCAAACTCGTATGTCAACCCTACGCTTGAAACAATTAAATGATCCCACGTCTAATAACTGGTAATTGATTTCGGGTTAATGTTGGATTTGAGGCCTACGAACTTCTATACGGTAGGCATCGTGCAGTCCTGGGAGACTATAGAGGTGCGCTATGGTTGTTGAGGCCGAAGTTTCCTCTCCAGGGCGCAAAGCCTGAGTAAGTCGATAAGGAGAAGCTGTTACCCATGCAGCAAGTCCCTCCTGTCTCCACGATACTGAAATTGCCCAAAGGAAATGCAAACGCCAATACGCTTGGTTCTAGCACCCTCTAGAGGGGGTTATCAATAATCTCTATAGGGTTATTAAGACCACCACAGTAGCTAATACTAGCCAGCTAGCAAGTATTAGTAGCCAGCTCCACAACAGTCTCCTCTACCCGCCTTACACAACAGCTCACTCGGCCAGTCCTCAATAACAAAAGACTGCACTTCGATCTAAAGAGCAGCTGTGCGTTACAGCAACAATTTATCGTTGGTGTTTGTTTTGTAATTTGTAAAGTTGGAGACAAATGCACCAAACAAACATTTTAACAGACGCGCCAAGTGTTAGACACACACACACAACAAACACAAAGTGTTTGTTGTGTGTGTGTGACAAATAAACTCGATGTTTATTTGTCGATTTCATGTTTGTCACTCTGGAGGTTCAGGTGTGGAAGTGGCTTGATAGACTGTTCCCAAACTCACTGTTGGGGCTCCAGGAGGCGTGATTGGTGGCTCAGAGTAGCTTATTTTGGACCGAGGTCACTCAAGGTCAAGCGGAAATTTCGACAATTTATCCAGCTAAAATGGCAGCTCTTCAGCGTACTATTTAGGGAAGATTTCCCTCTTCAGTTATGGCGATCAACGCAACAGTGCACGGGAGGTGGGAAGCATCATCTGGGCGAGATTATGAGGTTATCTTGAGATGATTTCGGGCGAGAATATGGGAGGTGGGTAGCTTTTGGGTAGTGTCCCCTTGCGGGGCTTTTTAGTGTCCCCGCGGCCCGGTCCTCGACCAGGCCTCCACCCCCAGGTAGCAGCCCGTGACAGCTGACTAACACCCAGGTGCCTATTTTACTGCTAAGTAACAGGGGCATATTGGAAGAAACTCTGCCCATTGCTTCTCGCCGGCGCCTGGGATCGAACCCAGGACCACAGGATCACAAGTCCAGCGTACTGTCCGCTCGGCCGACCGGCTCCCCGGTCGAGCATGGGCGAGAATATGGGAGGTGGGTAGCATAGGCTGACTTTGTGGAATGTTACCAACGTGTCACAACTGCATAAGTCTGTCTGCACCTACCATGACACAACTATTACTTTATAACCATGACGTGACTGACGCCCCACGCCAGGGACGCTACTGTCACAACACGTCCCTTCACGTGGCAAATCAGGAAGTCACTGAAGTAGAGTCGTGAAGACATTTACTACTTCTGTATGTCATGTGGGCCAGAGTAATCCCCCAAAGCGCCTCGACATAACAAACTCAAGACAATTAGACCTTTATGAAGTTTGATTCACAATTCCAACGAGTGTTTAAGTTTGAGACATCGGTAGAGGTTTCTCCTTGTTTAGCTAAGAGAGAGGATGCTGTACTTATCTGCATACCTGGAGAGGGTGATGGGAGTTCTACTCCCCAAGCCTGGTCTCCTGTACAGCTTGGTTAATAACTTGGTCTAAAAAGGCTGTTGTGTGTAGCGACCCGCAGGCCCACATATCCACAACAGCTCGGCAGGTGTTTATTCAAGACGTCCACTGTACCGGCAATATATCTTGTTTGTTGGGAGGATACAGGAGAGCCGTTATCCTCTGGTGTTGGTACAGTGGTTTAGATGTGTCCTAGAGAGCGTACTGATGCTACTGTCATCAGCAGCATCAGCAGCACTAGTGATATACGCTGTAAGCTACGATATCAGTGCCGGCTTAGAGTACACCAGACCTGGATCACTCACCTCATAATGTAATAATAATGTTTATTTAGGTAAAAGTACATACATACAAAATGAGTTACAAAAAAGAATGTTGAATTTCTAGACAGAGCTGGTGTATAGAGCGTTGCTGGCAAAGTAGAAGGAACCATTCATCAACAATGCCTACGGTATGTCAAGAGGCTTTCAGTCAGTATAAATTCTATAAATTTACATATTTCTATTTATATTAAATTATTAAATTACTAATTCTATTAATTTCTATAAAATTAATTATATATTATAAATTAATTAAATTAAATAATAATTATAAATAATTAATTAAATTAAATTTTATATAAATTAAAATTAAAAATTTCTATAAATTCATCAATATTTGTATCACCTCTTGTATGTCTGTACTTTACCTAAATAAGCATTTGAATTTGAATTTGATTTTTTTTTTGAGTATACAATGTAAAGAGCTTCCTGACAGACACACACAAGGGCCTCGCGGCTGAGTGGACAGCGCTCGGGAGTAGTAGTCCTAAGGGACCGGGTTTGATTTCCGGCCTGGTCGGAGTTTCTTTCACCGTGATGCGTTTGTTCACCTAGCAGTAAATAGGTACCTGGGAGTTGGTCAGCTGCTACGGGCTGCTTCCTGGGAATGTGTGTTAGAGAGATATATATGTAGAAGATATAGAGGAAAAATATATCGGGTAGAAAGGCGGGGTCCAAGAGCTAATAACTCGATTCTGCAGACATAAATAGTAAATACAAATAATAAGTACACACACATAGTCTGAAACTACCACCGGAAAATGTACTACCTGTTTCATCTACTGTAATAAATCTACTGTATAATAAATCTACTTTGATCTACATTCTGGTAGTGTATTATTATTATTATGACTCAAACGCTGTGCGTAATTGGAGGATTCATATAATATACAATTGCTGCACCTACTGTATCATGTTCCAATGTACATTTTATATAACTTCATAGCAAAATTATATTCCTTTCATCTGGAGCAACGACTTAATATTATCATAGTTAACTATCAAAATCTGGCTTGTGTACATCAGCATTATAGAAAACGTAGCCTATGATCCTACACTTTGATATTCTTGTTCATGATATCACAATGTCGACGACAAATATCACACGATATTGAAACAGTTAAATGGTGAATTCCCCCCATGATGAACCACAGTGTTGTGGTTCATGCGCGGGAAATTATTATGGCAATCTCCATAATGCTATGGCAAATATATGTCAGTTTCTGTTAACTTAACAGGAACTGCCCGTAACGCTTTGCGTAATAGTGGCTTTAGGCATTGTATGTACTAGCTCTATCTATAAATCGATCAATTTTTGTAAAATCTCTTGTATGTATGTACCTTACCTGAATAAACATTTATTTATTTATTTATTTATAACAATGTCTCCTTTAGGACCCGACCCTCAATCTAGCCTATAGCCTGAACAATAAATACATTAATCTTTAATGACAAGTTATCTAAGGGACAATTAAGAGAGGCACTAGAATGTTCAAACTACCATGTAAACTTAACAATATAATTACACTTTAAGGAAAACGCAATAATGCTATAATTATAAGAATTATAAGGGAGATTTTCATTGGGTAACTCAAACAATGCCAAAGAAAAACCAGATTCAATCTCCAGGATCGATTGGGTAGAAAAAGACGCAGATAATAGAGTCTACAGTTACACCTTATCGCCAACAATTAAATGGCCTGGGTTAAATGTATGGAACTATGGCAACACTAAACAAAAACTCAAAAGATATTATTAAGTAAATCACTGATCACACCCTTAAGCACTTGATCTAATTAAGCTCCACATAGACGAGTGTCTGTGTTTGTTCCAGCTAGAGACCTGCCGTTGTTGTTGTTTTTGATTCAGCTACTTGGAACAAAAGGTTCCAAGTAGCACGGGCTATGGTGAGCCCGTAGTGGACTTACCTGGCACAGGAACGGGGCTGAAACTCTGCCCTCCACTGGGGTTTATAAAGCAAGGAAGGAGACTGGTGTAGCTCCTGTCCTCCAGTTGCTGCCAGTTACAGCTTGTCTCTTTAACATAACAGTTAATTGCACAAGCTAGCAGCAGTCGCCTACACGCATAAGCAATAATGCTACCACAGAACATCCTCCCAAATAATAGTTATTGAAAGCGAGTGCTCGTCATTCGATCGATTGATTGATTAATAGAGATTAAGCCACCCACGAGGTGGAACGGAGATGAATAGCCCGTAATACTATCAAGTCCCTTTAACTGACAATTGCAAACATTGCAACCCCCCTTGCCCCCCCCCCCTACTTCCCCGATTTCTCACTTGCAAGCAAACTGTTCCTACATGAGCTGGCCACATCAATTACATTTACACTAATAACACAAATATGAACTCCTTAGAAACGACTATGCAAATTACACACAACTATACGGGCTCACCATAGCCCGTGCTACTTGGAACTTTGTTCCAGGTAGCGAATCTTTAACAACAACATACACACCAGTGTGCTGTCCGCTCGGCCGACCGGCTCCCACTAGTTCCAGGTAGCGAATCTTTAACATTAACATACACACGACTAGCTCTAGATTACATTACAGTCTTTGTCTACTCATATCACCGCTAAATAAGTTGGAATAGGCCTAGCTAGATTTGCGTATCCTATTATCCATTGCTGAATACAGTATGAGAATTAACATTCTAAGAATTACACATAAAGTATAACTGTTTTAAGTGATACCTGGTTGATACCTGGTTGATGGGGTTCTGGGAGTTCTTCTACTCCCCAAGCCCGGCCCGAGGCCAGGCTCGACTTGTGAGAGTTTGGTCCACCAGGCTGTTGCTTGGAGCGGCCCGCAGGGCCACGTACCCACCACAGCCCGGCTGATCCGGAACTTCTCTTAGAAAACCGTCCAGTTTTCTCTTGAAGATGTCCACGGTTGTTCCGGCAATATTTCTTATGCTCGCTGGGAGGACGTTGAACAACCGCGGACCCCTGATGTTTATACAGTGCTCTCTGATTGTGCCTATGACACCTCTGCTCTTCACAGGTTCAATCTTGCATTTTCTTCCATATCGTTCACTCCAGTACGTTGTTATTTTACTGTGTAGATTTGGGACCTGACCCTCCAGTATTTTCCAGGTGTATATTATTTGGTATCTCTCTCGTCTCCTTTCTAGAGAGTACATTTGGAGAGCTTTGAGACGATCCCAATAATTTAGGTGTTTTATCTCGTCTATGCGTGCCGTATATGTTCTCTGTATTCCCTCTATTTCAGCAATCTCTCCTGCTCTGAAGGGGGAAGTGAGTACTGAGCAGTACTCGAGACGGGACAGCACAAGTGACTTGAAGAGTACAACCATTGTGATGGGATCCCTGGATTTGAAAGTTCTCGTAATCCATCCGATCATTTTTCTGGCTGACGCGATATTTGCTTGGCTATGCTCCCTAAACGTTAGATCGTCGGACATCATTATTCCCAAATCCAATTTAGTAATATTATAACTTCGTCAAATTTGCACACAGATTGCCCTTGTTATTTTTTGTAAATTCACAGTTGCACATGCAAGATGCTCAATGGATCTGCCACATTTCACCTAAATGCTGCTTTTAATTAACTTCAGAACTGATAATATGCAAATTCCTGTACCCAAATTTACTAGGCTATTTTAAAATAGTTATGGCTAGTCTAGTTTATTACAGAGGTGAGCCATAGTGTAGTGGTTCCTGTGGAAGGGTGGGTGAACCACAGTGCTATGAAGAGAGGAGAGGAGTTTTGGAACATGTGATTGTGGAAGTGTGTGTGTGATTGTGTGTGTGTGTGTGTGTGTGTACTCACCTATTTGTGCTTGCGGGGGTTGAGCTTTGGCTCTTTGGTCCCGCCTCTCAACTGTCAATCAACTGGTGTACAAATTTCTGAGCCTACTGGGCTCTATCATATCTACATTTGTGTGTGTGTGTGTGTGTACTCACCTATTTGTGCTTGCAGGATCAAGCATTGACTCTTGGATCCCGCCTTTCCAGCAATCGGTTGTTTACAGCAATGACTCCTGTCCCAGTGTGTTTGTGTGTGTGTGTGTGTGTGTGTGTGTGTGTGTGTGTGTGTGTGTGTGTGTGTGTGTGTGTGTGTGTGTGTGTGTGTGTGTGTGTGTGTGTGGTGTTAAGAAACGTAAGTAGTTTGGGAGCGTGTTTACCAATATATAATTGGAGGTTTACCTCCAATAAACTTCTCTCAGCACCAATTCCCTGCCATTGTTTACACTCCATCTTGAAGATCGTTGTCAACAAAGCAAAACAATCAATTGTTCCAGAGAAATCTTAGTCCTGGTCATGAACTTTAATGACGACAATCAATACAAATGATTATACAATTATTCATATTTATTGGAGTAAAAGCTTCTCTATTTTATTCAGGGACTTAATAAGCTGCACTCACCTAGTTGTGCTCACTTAGTTGTGCTTGCGGCGGAGGTTGAGTCTCGGCTCTTTGGTCCCGCCCCTCAACCAACTAGTGTACAGGTTCCAGAGAGAGAGAGAGAGAGAGGTATTTAATGCATGAAATAAACACTACATTCAGCTTGTTTAAATATTGACATTTTGTACAAGAATGATCTGAGACTTGTTGCTGGACTTGATATAGACCTTGGCCTTAGAGCTTGGACTTGGACCATAGGCTTGGATATTAGACTTGGGCTTAGATATTGGGCATGGACCTTGAGTTAGACCTTGAACCAGGATCTTACCTCCTGGACCTTGCTCCAGGAGCTTATCGTGCAAATGTTGATGTTTTGATTGGTGATCAATTACATGTACACGCTCCAAGAAAACCCCAGATACCTTTCAGAGTATTGATAAAAAAGGTGAATATAAGAGACGATGTCATCCACAGACACCCACGGCAGTGTCCACAGTTCAAGCCATGGTGCAGCGATGGCTGCCACACACCTTATGGCTGTCGGTGGTGACCGCGGCTGCGGGGTATGCGCGCCCTGGACGCTCAGAGAGAAGAATGCAGGCGGACAGCTTCCAAGAACTGGAAATTCTGTCCCCAAATCAGAGCAATTTGGAGGAGCAAATGGCTATCTTGGAGTTGACAAGCGGCTTGAAGGAAATGGATAGCCTGAAGATGTTATTTGACGGCAAAGCCGAACATACGAATGACTTGAAGAACCTGGATGACTTGGAGGAACACCTGGGCGTTCTGAGGGGCGAGGTCGTGGACAGCTTGGAGGAGCAGGTGGGGGTGACGATGCAGGAGGTGACTGAGCAGCACCTGGCTGGGTGTCACCTGGTCTTGGCCTCCACCACACAACACCTTCCACTCTTCACCTGGATTATCAGGTGAGCTAATTACTGTACCTTTGCAAGTATCTAGGAAATTTAGTTAAGAAATACCGGTATATATAACGTGCCTTTATCAGTATTGTGATAATCGATATAATAATTATCATTCTTGCTATCATAATAATAATAATATAATGGCTGATCGAGTATAAACAATCGAATAAGGTGTCTCGTATCTCGTATGTTAGTATACCTCACGATATTTGTCTCGTATGTTAGTATACCTCACGATATTGTCTCGAATGTCAGTATACCTCAAGATATAATGACATGATTTTTTTTATTTAAAGATTTCTCTCCAATTTTGGTTTATCATGTGTTATTGCATAACTTATTTTGTTTGTGTGTTGCTTGGTGATGGAGAAAGACAGTCGAGCCTAACTTAACACACAGATTCGTAAGTATAAACTCAACTGGCTAAGGCTTTACGAAAAGATGTACGATAAGAGCCGAGTCCCAGGAGCTGAATCTCGAACCCCCACAAACGCAGCTAGGGAAGCACAACTAGGTGGGTAACGCTAGTACATATACACAACGCGTTCTGAACGGGTTAGATGCCAGTTATCTAGAGCAATGTCATCCCCTGTCAGTACATGAAGATGGGGGATCACTGCAGCTATCTTCCCCTTCAATTTCTTCAGCATTTTGTAGACCTAAATAAAAAAGTCATGGATAAAGACTACCAAATTATAATTATTTATAATATGCTTACTATACACTGTAAGTTGAAGGGACGACGACGTTTCGGTCCGTCCTGGACAATTCTCAAGTCGATTGTGAATGTCACAATCGACTTGAGAATGGTCCAGGACGAACCGAAACGTCGTCGTCCCTTCAACTTCTAGTGTGTGGTCTGGTCAACATACTTCAGCCACGTTATTGTGACTCATCGCCTGCTTACTATACCTATTACTTTATTTATATTTGTTGTAATTTTAAAATTGCCCAATAGAAGATGCATGACTAATTACTGAAATATATGAAAAACATGTCGATAGAAGCAAAGCGTTTATTTTCTGTTCAGAGTTCGAGCACTGAGAATAATCACGCGCTCATTGCATGGTAAGAAAACACATATTGAAAACTTTCATACAGTGTCACCAAAAATGTTGTGTATAGATGCTTCTGGTTCTCACAAAGCAGCTACGCAAGTACTTGTAAACCTTTACATCTTTTCTCAATCTTTGGCGGCTTTGTTTACAATTATTAAACAGCTAATGAGGTTCGAAGCACAAGGAGGCTATTTATAACAATAACAACAGTTGATTGGGGAGTTTTCATGCTTGTAAACTGTTTAATAAATGTAAACAAAGTCGTCAAAGATTGAGGAAAGATGTACACGTTCGCAAGTACTTGCGTAACTGCTTCGAGATCTGGCCGCTGGTTTCCAAGACCAAGGCGTAAAGTGAGGGTGTTCTTGGCCTCCCTCCCGCAGGCGACTAGCTGACGGAGGCGGGAAAGGGAGCCTGGTGGTGGTGGCGACAGAGACGCTCTTCTCCCAGGGCCAGACGGCATCAGACCCCCTCCTGCAGAGGCTGTGGTCGGGCTCTAAGCTCACCTGCCAAGCTCTCATCCTCCTGCTGGATGAACCAAACACGGACCTTGCACTCAGGTACTGCTGTCTGTTCTCGCTAAGGAGCACAGCCACTCTTCCGTGCGGGGCAAGTCTAATCATGCAGGGCGATCTAATCATGCGTGGCAAGTCTAATCATGCGGCTTGATGCCGTTTCTTCTTGCCTCTCCGCGTTATCATGTAGAACTGAGTGAACAAATACCATTCAAGAATACATATTTTCTTCAATATTGTCAACAACCAAAATTATTCTCATACGAGTCTGTACAGAAACATTTTAATTAACAGTATCTAGATTTATTTGGGAAATCTAGACATCTGAAGTTCCCAAATAAATATCAACATTCAGACTACTATTACATGTAAAGATTCCATAAGTGTAAACTGTTGTTCCAGCTTGCTGGATGCTGCTGGGTTGTGGCTTCGTCCTCAGACCATGGTGGTGGTGGTGGACGGCAGGCCAGGGATGGCAGCCCCTCTCCATCACTCCAGCAGGCCAGGGATGGCAGCTCTTCTCCATCACGCTAGCCTCCGCAACACCATCCACACACTCTACATCTCCATCAACAGTATCGACCATCATCAGGGCTCTCCAGTTAACATTTCGCTCATGAGAAATCTTAAGGAAGGTAACTTCAACACCTGAGTTTCACCTTCAAGCTGAACACATCAATAATTCACTACTACTTAAAACTAACGTTAATCCTTGACTCTAAGGCACTGAAAATTACTTGGGAAGTTACCCTTTAATCCTTTCATATAGACCTATCATTAGAAATCCCGGGAGGAGTACTCAAACACCCTTTCTAACCATATCCCAACCAGGGACTAGTTTTGTATTCTCACCTCTACACCATCTGGATAAATTCATAGGAAGTGCTGCCATTTTGACCAATTAAGTTATACCCTTAATATAGCGTATTGCACAGTATGAGACGACGAACGAAATTAAGTACAACACGTAGTAAAATTTTAAGAGGCAATTCCAATCACCAAGGAATGTTTACTTCTGGGCGGGGGGGGGGGTATAGGTATATATATATTACCTGCCTGATTTAACTTAATATGACAGTACATTATCTCGGACCACAAGTTGGTAATGTTTTGACTGGTGATCAATTACATGTACAAGCTCCAACAAAACCCCAGATACCTTCCCCATGGTAGTTGTCCATCCACTTGGATTGATCGGCAGAGGGACGGCCTTGCTTCCTGCAGGGTCGGCGTTCGATCCCTGATAATCAAAGTGCTTGGGCACCGTTCCTTCACCCCCCATCCTCCTATCCCAGCTTCTATCCTGTCCTCATATCCTTTCCAAGTGCTATATAGTCGTACTGGCCTAACCCTCTCCCCTCATCAGTGCTCAGCTACACAGCCTCCAAGACAGACACGCTTGTTAAACAGCCCGTCCACTTGATCTGCCACTCCGTAAAAAATCGAACCGTCTCGCCTAATCAGCAAGGTACGAACACAAACAACTCACCTTAACCTTACGAGTCCAATGCATAGAAAACGTAGATCTCTATGAACGGTTACTTTTCTTAATAGTTTTGTGTTGTAGGGTTATAACCAGGTCTTTCCTGAACAGTCAGGCAACACAGCGTGTGGGGCTGCATGTCCTCTTGATGTGCCACAACCTAAAAAATCCAGCCTCTTAACCTACCCCACAAACGTATGAACCCAAAGAACCCACCTAACCTATGGAGTTAGATGCGGAGAAATCGTAGATCCTTGCGAGCCGTTACTCTTCATAATAGGTTGCATTTGTGACGTTAGTTACCAAAATGTACAACATGCAACCTATTAGTTGACAGGATGGGTTGAAGAAGGGATCCAGGAGAAGCTAAGCATGGTAATAATGAAGATAATTAGGATAACGATGAATGAAGCGAAAATATCAACAACGATAATGCTCGTAAAAGCAATTCATTCATTAGAAGACTAGACCAACACAGGGACATAGTCAGTCACCCATTCCCTTGTTTACATTAATGACTTGAGAGATGGCAGAGCCTCAGAGATGTCATCCCTATTTGCTTTACATAAAGCAACTTGGAACAAAGTTCAGTGTCTCTGCAGACGGAGTCCCAGCAGCAGCAGCAGCTGGAGAAGGGAGGGGGCGTGTGAGAACGTACCGCCGGTGCCTCTACTGCGACCACGGGCAGGCGGGCATCCAGCTCCTGCGTCCAGGAAACCTCTTTCCAGGTTAGTCAGTTACATGCAAATATTTACGTCACTGTTCGCATGAAACACAGCACGAGCAGCGAGCCTAAAACCCCCACACACTCCGAAGCTGCCTTAAGGGTCTACATCTTAATATTTCCAGAGACTCTGAACAACATGATGGGACACACCTTCAAGGTGGTGGCGCTGAGCTACTTCCCGCTGGTGGAGTACAGGAAGGTCACCAACGACCCCAACGATCTCGTCCAGCCTGAAGACTCCGTTGATGTCCGAATGCTTGACATCATGGCTCGTCGCTTCAACTTCACGTCTGTTTAATTCTTGCCTCTCTTAGTTTTGTCCATGTTATGTAAAACTGTATTCTTGGATTTTGAAAAAAAAAAAAATCAAAATCCAAGAATACAGTTTTAATTTAATGCAGAAAAAGGATTTTTTTAATAGAGAAAAAAGGCTTTTAATAGAGAAAAAAGGCTTTTAATTCAGGAAAATGTATTTTAATGCAGAACAAAATTATTTTGATGCACAAAAAGGACATTTAGTGCAGGAAAAAAAGAAGCTTTTCATGCAGTGTAAATTTGTGTTTGTGGACAGGACTCCTAACTTTTGCTTGATAAAAAGTCTGACAATTATATCCCACAACAGAGCACTTTGTCGTGTGCAAGCTCACACAACACACCCTTGTTCCATCTCTATACTAATCATATTAGTCTTAGTGTTACTAAGTATTAGTATACTAAGTCTTTTTCGGCTATTTCTCCATTTTCTTTATGTATTTTCCCCAACGAGTCATCCCTAATTTACTTGATCTCTATAATGTTCCCTAAGGGGATACGCTTGACTGAGTGTTCCCTAAGGGGATAGGCTTGCCTGAGTGTTCCCTAAGGGGATAGGCTTGCCTGAGTGTTCCCTAAGGGGATACGCTTGACTGAGTGTTCCCTAAGGGGATACGCTTGACTGAGTGTTCCCTAAGGGGATAGGCTTGCCTGAGTGTTCCCTAAGGGGATACGCTTGACTGAGTGTTCCCTACGGGGATACGCTTGACTGAGTGTTCCCTAAGGGGATAGGCTTGCCTGAGTGTTCCCTAAGGGGATACGCTTGACTGAGTGTTCCCTAAGGGGATACACTTGACTGAGTGTTCCCTAAGAGGATACGCTTGACTGAGTGTTCCCTAAGGGAATACACTTGACTGAGTGTTCCCTAAGGGGATACGCTTGACTGAGTGTTCCCTAAGGGGATAGGCTTGCCTGAGTGTTCCCTAAGAGGATACGCTAGAGTGAGTGTTCCCTAAGGGGATAGGCTTGACTGAGTGTTCCCTAAGGGGATACGCTTGACTGAGTGTTCCCTAAGGGAATACGCTTGACCGAGTGTTCCCTAAGGGGATACGCTTGACGTCCCCCTTCGATCTAACCAGAGCAGCGTACACATACAGCAAACTAATGAATTGAAACTAATTTCAGAATTACACCCTTAAAACCGCAATAACTTTACAACAATCTCAACAAATCTAAACCATTTTACGACACAAGGTTCACATAGTGAGCTAATACCCTATATGGTATATGTTTTCTATCATATTTTATGCAGATGTTCTTGTAAAATATATATATTCAAATATATATTCTGAATATGAATTCTAAAACTCAACTCTGAATATGAATTCTAAAACTCAACTCTGAATATGAATTCTAAAACTCAACTCTGAATATGAATTCTAAAACTCAACTCTGAATATGAATTCTAAAACTCAACTCTGAATATGAATTCTGAAAATGGATTGCTAACACTAATTTCTATCATGTATTCTTTAAATCTAGAGCCCGTAACGCAAAGCTGCCGTCATAGACATTAGGAAAGTTTTATGGAGCTCCAATATTATACTGGCTATAGGCCCCGAGTGCAAAAGAATGCTATTGTCAGTCCGCTAATCAACGGAATTACAAGAGGAAAGTTATAACTCTAAATATTACCGTATTAAACGATACAATGTGTACGGTTTTGTTCGATTTTGGGCTTATCAAGCTCCGGAGGGTTGTTAAGGTCACCTCAATAGATGACCAATCAGTAAGTATACTTTAGTCCTGAAGATAGTCCAAGACTATCTTCACTACTAAACTGAAGTGTATATACTCTTAGTGTATACACCAGTACGTGGAGTACACCTCTTGGGTATATATATATATATATATATATATATATATATATATATATATATATATATATATATATATATATATCAGTCTGATAAGGGTATGAAGCAATTAGATATATTTATATTTAAGAACTAATCCCTGCCAGCATCGCAGAAGCCTCCCACAAGACCGCACGGGGAGAATTAAGCATTCACCTCCTGTGAATATTTACGAGCAATTAACCGAGAGATGCGAGGTGCGGAACCCTAAGAGATTAAACATTCACGATTTGATAATACTAGCGAGCACTTGGCCAACAGGTACGAGATGAGAGAGCCGTGGGATGGTTTATGGGGGACTCCTACGAGTGGCGGCAACTGGTCAGGGATCGTAGGCACTCTCCAGCACCAGATGGCAGACTTCTCCATGGACCTCACACCTTCAGACGCCAGGATGGAGGTCATAGACTTCTCCAAGACTTACGTCTACGACCCGCTGATAATAATGTCGCTCCAGCCCAGTCCCTTGCCTCGTTCCTTGGCTGTAACGAGGCCTTTCTCAGGTAGCTTGGTTCAGATACAATGTCCGACGAGACTTGCAAATCCTGAAATAGACTTTGTACATAAATATGAGCCTTCGCCAACCCACTTTCGTACCCCAGTCTACACCTACCCTACCCTAACCCTAAAGATACCCTATCCGAACCTAACTTACACTAACGCTATCCTACCTAACCTACACCCACCCTTACCTAAACTAGCCTAGGGGTGAATTCACACTAATCCCAAGTCAATATTACCGACATGTTTGTTTCCCATAACGTCTTCTGGGGGTACAAATATGGATGCATTTCAGAGCTCCTCGCTTCTCTCCAGGACCAGTGTGGGTGATGACGGTGGTGTTCACCTTCGCCACGGGCGTGTGTCTGTGGGTGCTGCAGAAGGCGTGGGCGTGGGTGTTAGGGAGGCGGGGCCCAGACCTCCTCTCACGGGTCTTCTACATCTGGGGCGTCCTACTGGAGAACGAGCCCACCGGCCCGCCCGCCACCATCAACGGAAAGGTAGATACGGGTCTACCACAGGGGTAGAGCAAAGTAGATACTGATCTACCTTGCGTATAGCCAGACCACAGGGTAGAGCAAAAAGTTTTATGACGCCATTGACAAACCAGGTTAAACACCGCTGGATGTGTCCAGTAATTAGATGGGTGTACTTTTTCAAGAATGTCTGGCAATACCCATACTGTAGCTTTGTTCTGCAGACAGTGTATTTCGCTACGTATACTTACTTATTTAATGCTTCGCTGTATATATTCTATATTTCTTTAGCTGTTAAATGAGTAACGTACCTATGTTAATGTAATCTGAAAATATATTCCTATTTATAACCACGCACTCAAGTATCAGTTTAGGTTATAATCTGGTTGACGCAATACCGTCCGGTTCAGATGTTGGTTGGTTGGTGGCTGGTAGGCTGCCTGGTGCTGGCCACCGCCTACCGTTCCTCCCTCGTCGCCCACCTCTCCGTCCAGAGCAAGAACAAGCCCATCAACACCCTGGCAGACATTCTCAACCAGAAGGGCTGGTCCTGGGGAGCTCGACTCATGAAGGGAACAACATTCCTCTATTTCAACCAAAGTACCGATCCGGTCCTCATCAAAATACACCAGAATTATGAGGCGAGTGTTTTAGTTAAACCCGTGTGTACACATCTTGTATATATGCATTTTGTGCTGAAAAAAACCAAAGTGTACTGAATAATAGCTACCAGATTGTTCGACTTGACAATGTCAAAATTGTGGCATTTGAATGCGGAAAAGATTAGTTATGATCAGTAGGGATCTTAGGACAAAAAATCATTAATGTACCTAATAAAGGAATGATAGTGGGATGATGATGGTTCCCCACGAACCATGTCAATATTAAATCTTAATCCTCGAGTTAATGACAGAGGTCTTGGCTTGTTGTTTTTAAGATATTGTGTCACTGACGGTGGGCTATGGCAGTGAATCCGAGCGAGAAAGAGGCGGTTGGTCAAGTTTCACCTGGTGCCTCTGCTCACCTAGGAGTTAGGCAACTATTGTGGGGGTATATCAGGAGTTGGCCTTGTGGGTCTTTATAAGCAAAACAAGCTTTCTCTCCCCGACTATGGGAAACCATTGTATACTCTGGACATGTAGACTACTCTCTTTGGTCTACTTTTTAAAACAAAATGAGAATTTTTCTTGCCTATATACTTTTCAAGTTAAAATTTCGGTCGTAAATGTCTTTTGATATACTTAAACTATTTATTAATGTAATATGTTTCAGATTTTTAGTGACAGAGAAGAAGCAACGAAGCGGGTGCTAGCCGGCCGCTTCGCCTACATAGCCTTCAAGACGGACATCTTGTGTGACATTGCCCCGCTCTACGTGGACAAGTACGGCAACACCCCTCTCTACTTCAGCACCACAGAGTATAACATCTTCGGTGGGAACGCTTGGGGCTTCAGGCAAGTTGTCTTAGGTAGCCTACCCTACCCCTTCAGGCAAGGTATCTAAGGTAGCCTACCCTACCCCTTCAGGCAAGGTGTCTAAGGTAGCCTACCCTACCCCTTCAGGCAAGGTATCTAAGGTAGCCTACCCTACCCCTTCAGGCAAGGTGTCTAAGGTAGCCTACCCTACCCCTTCAGGCAAGGTGTCTAAGGTAGCCTACCCTACCCCTTCAGGCAAGGTATCTAAGGTAGCCTACCCTACCCCTTCAGGCAAGGTGTCTAAGGTAGCCTACCCTACCCCTTCAGGCAAGGTGTCTAAGGTAGCCTACCCTACCCCTTCAGGCAAGGTGTCTAGCCTACCCTACCCTTCAGGCAAGGTGTCTAGCCTACCCTACCCTTCAGGCAAGGTGTCTTAAGTAGCTCTTGTAAATAAATTGTTATGTGATGGGATTGTAGGCTCTTGTAAAATGTGTTAAATAGTGCATAAAACATACACACACACACACACACACACACACACACACACACACACACACACACACACACACACACACCCACACACACACACACACACACACACACACACACACACACATACCACGCACATACATACAGGCCTGAGATGATGTGCTTCACAGGAAAGGAGTCCCAATTATCAATCTGGTCAGGAGGATGAAGCAGAGGTTTATTGAAGCAGGTCTCATTGACTACTGGCTGAAGGAACTCTATCAGGCCCAGAGCAAACGAGTCACAGAAGCACGAGGACTGAAGCCAACCCCTTACATGCAGGTAAGGTACGAATAAGGAGCACGAAGGAAAGGAGGGAATAAAAAGAGCGAGGATTGAATATGGCATAAATCAAAGATAAAAAATAACATTATTAGAGAAGTATTCTCAAACAGATATCGACTTGCTCTTGAATTATGTCCACTAAAGAGACATTTTACACAAACATTTTAAAAACTATGTAGTGTCTTGTCTGCGACGTGTGTGGAGGAATACCACTATATATTTGTCATATATGTAAATATATAGTTACACAAACACAAATATGTACATTTTCCCAGACAGAAGACAAGCAGGTGGTGTTGGGGATGGATCACCTCCAGGGCGCCTTCTACCTCTGGCTACTAGGCTGCACCATTGCTCTCCCGTCCTTGCTGGTGGAGATGCTCGTCCACTGCCACACACGACTACGGAACCCGCAGTAGGCGGCCCAGTGTTGTGCCTGGCGCCTCACAGCACCTCGACGACCCCCGTCCTTCACGACTCGATCTCCGTGCCTGGCGCCATACAGCAGCTCGACACGAGTGTTCCACCTGACGAGGCTGTTGCCTCCATCCTGAGTTCAAGGTCACGCATCTTGGTCCATCATCCGTGAAGTTAATTCCATTCCAACATTTGTTTCTCGTGTGTGATGATTACACTTTACATTATCGTGCTACAATAGCTTAGACCTGACCAGGGTACTGTATGCTTGTGCATAAATATATTGTATTATGCAAGGAACACCTCTAGTACTAATAAATTGGCATAATTTATGAATTCTTTATTTCTATATTCCCTAATTCCGATAATGGTGTACTTAAGCAGCTGTATTTTCACAGAATGCGCTTTAGCTCCTGGGCCGCGCCTCTCAAAATTTTAAATCGAGTGATGCAGTTGTTTCACAAGTTCTTGGATGCTGTCATATCATTTCAAGCATGAATTCTGCTTTCTTTACTTTATTCCAATTCAATGAGAATATTTTTTCTTACAAGTGATTTAAACTTTGGGTCCCTGCTATGTCATTCTTGTTTTCCTTGCGGATTTCCCAAAGGATCAGCAACGTTGTGAACATGTCACCTCCACTTCCATCTGTCCTGCAGGTGCGTGGTGTCCAAGCGGGCACTGCGTACCTCTGCACTCATCCACATATCATCCCTCATATTATTACACGTTGGTACACAACTAGAAACTTATTGATATTTTCGCTAATTAAACCGTCTGATCCTTCACTAGTAAAATTATGTATTGATTTGCTGAGTAAAGTCTTATCAATGGGTACTATTTTGATTATCACTATTGGTTGCATAATTCTAAAGAAGGGTTAAGGATTAAGAACCTCAGGGCAGTGCTCCCCAGGGCCGCCCACGCCAGGGCCGCCCACTCCAGGGCCGCCCACGCCAGGACCGCCCACTCCAGGGCCGCTCACCCAAGGACCGCTCACCCAAGGACCGCCCACTCCAGGGCCGCTCACCCCAGGGCCGCCCACTCCAGGGCCGCCCACCCCAGGGCTGCCCACCCCATGGCCGCCCAATCCAGGGCCGTCCACCCCAGAGCCGCCCACGTCAGGGCCGCCTACGTCAGGGCCGCCCACCCCAGGGCCGCCCACCCCTGAGCCGCCCACTCCAGGGCCGCCCACCCCAGAGCGGGGTCACACCAGCAAGGGTCGCGCCACGGAGCCATCAGTGCTGGGAGCTCAGCGCTGGTGACCACACCCGCCCTCGGGGCGCGAGAGTGAGTAGGCTGATCCTCCCTGCTAATACGTCTCATATTGATATTTTTAAAAATACAACCAAACCAACCTAGGCCTACAAAACCTAACCCTAGAAACAATCTAAATCAAGTCTAAGCCTAGCTAACGGTAAGTACTTTACAACATATTTTGGTACGTACAAATTCAAATAACTACTTCGTCAGTAAATCAACGTTTTTAAAGGCGTCATTGCGTCTTTGTTTTGCGCATTATAAGTTAAGTTTTTAAGCATTCCATGTTTGTAAATAGCGCATGAAAGACTGTGGGGGGAATTTTGTAAGGCCTTAATATATATATTTTTAAAGGATGGCAAAAATTCCTGTTATATTCTCCACGTTTTCTGTGTCAAAACCGTGTATATAATTCTTAGGCTAGGCTGTGCTAGCCGCGGAAGGGATAGGTTAGGATGGTTTAAGTTTGGCTAGGTTAGGTTAGGGTTGAGTTGTAAAATACGTTGATTCACCCTCTAGTGTATTACATCCAACAAATGAAGGACAAAACCAATCCTGACCAACTGATTAGTTCTGACGACGTTACAATGAGTTTAATAACTCATTAAAGATTCTTCAAGCTTGGAAATCTGCAATCAGAAGTTAGCTGGTGACTTCAGCACTTCATTTTACAATTTACAAGAGAATTTACGCTGGATGGATATATAAGCAAAAGGTTATTAAGGATGATTTTCAAGAATAATTTAGACTAGAGCGACGGGCAATAAACATGTTAATTCACGCGCAGGCTTCCTCATGGGTGTCAATATCTTTCATAAACTATACCATTTATCTTCAAAATAAACCATTTACTTTCGCAATAGTTCACAAATACATTCTTTACCTTATATTCCAATCATTACTATTCTTTACCTTATATTCCAATCACTACTACACTTTACCTTATATTCAAATCACTACTATTATTTACCTTATATTCCATTCACTACTATTATTTACCTTATATTCCATTCACTACTATTATTTACCTTATATTCCATTCACTACTATTATTTACCTTATATTCCATTGACTACTATTATTTACCTTATATTCCAATCAATAATATTCTTTACCTTATATTCCAATGATTATTATTCTTTACCTTATATTCTAATCTTTACTTTTTAATTTCAGAGTTCTGAATGGGCCATCATATCTAGAGGGGGGAGGGAGGGAGGGGGGGTAGGGGGAAGATTGGAGCGTTGTTGGAAACTCTGCTGAGCTGAACCAATCCCTCCCTCTCACCAAATACGTCGCATTTTTAACGTAATCGGCCAGTCCGATAACGAATGTGACGTATTAGTAAACTATAAATACAACAATTTTGACGTTTCGTGTGCATCTGCCTCGATGGGTTAGGCGAGATGTTTGGGCTCGTACACGTTTCTCGATAAAGCCAAAACAGTTGCAATTTGTTACGGAGTGGCGAGTCAAGAGCGCTTGTTGGTGCGTTAGCTTGTTCTGGTGTTAGGCATAAGGCCTATCAACCCCTGGATGGTTGTTACGAGTAGTGGTATTTTAACAACCTGCTGCTTGGGTAACAGCTTCTCCATATCAACCTACCCTGGCTTTGCGCCTCCACACCAGACCGTCGACCAGAGCGCAACCAGTATAAGGGCAATAGTTGGAAAAGTCAGGATCCAAGAGCTTCACCTTGTGAACTGCAAAACTCTTTTAGGCAAGAATGTATTGCATAAACAGCACGAAATGAAGGATCGAAAAGCAGCATACCTTTAGCATTTTCTATTTAATAAACACAGCTGTGCGATTTAAGTTGATACAGACGACTACTCACACACCTAAACAGGTGCTTAGACTTGCTTTATTGTCTGGCGTCTCGCCCCGCTGAGCAGCCGAGGCACAGGACACACACACACTAATATTGAATCACCATAAGCAATACCGACCTCTGCTCTCCCACCCCGAACAGTACAAATGTACACATTAAGCAAATGTTTATGACCTGGGCTTCCCCTTGTAAACTTAAACCCTAAAGGCCCGAAATTCCTTGAACGGTCGTCACAAATTCACTCGCCTTGTGCCCATATTTCCCGTTCGTGATTGTAAATCACTAACAAAGGGTTTGGTTATTTACAATTTCAACTGCCCGTTTACTCCTGAGGAACCTGAGATCACATTATCAACTTCAGTAATGACAATCAATACGTGTGTTTTTAACGAGGTGAATTTACATTGGGCTTCTGTAAAAGTGTTTTGCCCAGAGACTTTGTAAACAATGAGAAGTATTTAATAAATGTCGATGTATAAATCCCAGTATTATATTTTTGTAAACAAAAGATTCATCTGAAACTGATCCTTTCTGGTTGGTGGAGGGATGTTGGTGGCCAATGTCCTCAAGATACCCCCGACTTGACCTCAAGACACCCCCCCCCCCCGCAACTTGGCCAAACGTCATGGACAATGAGAAGTTGGCACCCGTAACACAAGATGTTTACCCATCAATAGCCTCATGCTGGTTGTGCCACTCTCAACAACATTACTCCATCAACGATCATTCATGCCTAATATTGACTCGCATTTGCAACATGTTCGCTGAACATGTAAATACGTGTTCAATGAAACCAACAGTTGGCTCAGGCTTCATGCCGTTAGTAACACAAATAAAGGTTATCCCAAATGGAAGCAAAAACTCGTACAATAAATGAGTATCTAGGGTGAGGCTTCAGATAAGCTGATGTAGAAGACAGTTCTTAGCTGGCAGTTTCATGAGGAATACAAATGACATTGATAATGAATCCTAGAATTGTTTAAAACAGAACGATATGGATGGATGCTTATACATAGTTTGAATTCCCCTTGTAATTTTGTATTTTTTTTTATAAAATAGAATTTAATAACCTAGAATTTTACCCTGGATCTTGTCCCCTAAACCATACCAATGGATCTTTACCATTTGGGCAGGAAACGATTTACCTAACAAGCAGAGTGATTTTCGTTATTTTCAAATACGTAGCTTTCCAAATTGGTTTATTCCAATTAATATTACCATATTATATTAAGAACGTGAATTACCGAGCTATTTTAGGTTGGGTTTGATTGAATTTCTACGTTGTTTTAACTCAAATTAAAATAATATATAATGCAAACCATTGTCATTTCATAAGAAAATGTATTTGAAAAATATATTATTTCAGGAAAATTCGGCTTGTTATCCAACTTGGTATATTACACTTGTGTTATCTGTCTATAGTTTACTCTTTGAAAATTATATTAATACATAAAAGTGCTCTGATTTTAATTTTGTTGTTGCCTTTCCTTCATAAATGGATACTTACTCATAGGTATATCAAGCCTTTGAGATATATATATATATATATATATATATATATATATATATATATATATATATATATATATATATATATATATATATATATATATATATATGTCGTACCTAGTAGCCAGAACGCACTTCTCAGCCTACTATGCAAGGCCCGATTTGCTTAATAAGCCAAGATTTCATGAATTAATATTTTTTCGACTACCTAACCTAACCTAACCTACCTTTTTCGGCTACCTAACCGAACCTAACCTATAAAGATAGGTTAGGTTAGGTTAGGTAGGGTTGGTTAGGTTCGGTCATATATCTACGTTAATTTTAACTCCAATAAAAAAAAATTGACCTCATACATAATGAAATGGGTAGCTTTATCATTTCATAAGAAAAAAATTAGAGAAAATATATTAATTCTGTAAAACCTGGCTTATTAGGCAAATCGGGCCTTGCATAGTAGGCTGAGAAGGGCGTTCTGGCTACTAGGTACGACATATATATAATATATATATATATATATATATATATATATATATATATATATATATATATATATATATATATATATATATATATATATATATATATATATATATATTCTTCAAGAGGAAACTAGATTTATTCCTCCAAGGAGTGCCTGACCAACCGGGCTGTGGGCCTGCGGGCCGCTCCAAGCAATAGCCTAGTGGACCAAACTCTCACAAGTCAAGCCTGGCCTCTGGCCGGGCTTGGGGAGTAGAAGAACTCCCAGAACCCCATCAACCAGGTATATATATATATATATATATATATATATATATATATATATATATATATATATCAAAAAAATTAAAAAAAATAAGCCTGAATTCTAAACCTCTTTTTACCTTAGGTACCATGAAAATTTGCATATTCTTCTAAGAGAATTCAAGTCCACTGTTACATATTAAAAATAACAATAAGTGTATTAATGAAACCAAAAAAGCCTTCATACTAACAGCATTTACAGAAACTAGCGCCCTTAGAGACAATGTTGTATTCGCAGCGAGCGTGATGATTTCCTCACTGATGATGCGCCTAGTCTTCATGTGGCTTAGTGTTGACTCTGCACAATTACCAAATCACTTAGAGGAATCGAGAGGCTTGGCGAAGCAAGTTGGTGTCCAGAAGGAAGGGAGAAGCTTGATGGAACACCTGGGTGTTCTGAGGGGCGAGGTCGTGGACAGCTTGGAGGAGCAGGTGGGGGTGACGATGCAGGAGGTGATTGAGCAGCACCTGGCTGGCTGTCACCTGGTCTTGGCCTCCACCACACAACACCTTCCACTCTTCACCTGGATTATCAGGTGAGCTCATTCCGGTTGTTATACTTAAGGTAAAATTATATTTAAAATGTTATAACCTTACGTTCTCTCTTGCTGATCCTTTCAAATATTTCATCTGCTTTGTTAGTGACTCCATCGGCATTGGTATACCATATCTTGAGGCCTACCTTAAGTGTATGTGTGAATTTGTGTATGTAAATACGTAAATATGTGTATGTTAATATGTGTGTTATGTATATATGTTTGTGTATATACCGTGAATCAACCAATTCTATCCATGAATACTTGCGGGTTGTCGTACCATCAAAACTCTGGCGAATACCAGCTATAATAAGGTTTCTAAGCCCCCGAGTCCTTATTACCCATAAACGATGAGCGAAACCAGGAACCGCCAACTGGGTGCAATAACCATAACCATAAGTGCCTTTATCATCAACTCCAGCAACTTGACGAGGTAGAACAGTATGTTTGGTACGTGCATTGAGGCATCATTTGTTAATGTGACACATAAGACTAAGAAAGCATGTTTGCTCTGTGGCATGAAAGAGGGACTAACAGGTACTAACTGGAAAGATTATTGCTTCGGTCGTTAAAGTGGCAGGTCCTAGTTGTGACTAGCTTGTGGGCTAGAAAATATACTGCTTTAGGTAAAGAGGTCCGTTCCTCGTTGCTTCGTTGTCGTGATATTGTGTCTCACACACACACACACACACACACACACACACACACACACACACACACACACACACACACACACACACACACACACACACACACACAGGATTCTTTAAGAGGATCTTGTAGGATCCTCCAAGAGGACTTAAACAGGTTGCAGAGATGGTCAGGGAAATGGCTACTGGAGTTTAACACCAGTAAATGTAAAGTTATGGAAATGGGATCAGGTGATAGGAGACCAAAGGGACAGTACACAATGAAGGGGAACAGCCTACCTGTAACGATTCGAGAAAGAGACCTGGGAGTGGATGTGACACCTAATCTAACTCCTGAGGCACATAAAATAGGATAACGACAGCAGCGTACTCTACACTGGCGAAAATTAGAACTTCATTCAGAAACCTAAATGAGGAGGCTTTTAGGGCGCTTTACACTGCCTACGTGAGACCCGTCTTAGAGTATGCCGCGCCATCATGGAGCCCCCACCTGAAGAAACACAAAGAAACTGGAGAAGGTTCAGAGGTTTGCCACGAGACTTGTCCCAGAGTTACGAGGGATGGGGTATGAAGAGCGTCTGCAAGAACTGAACCTTACGACACTAGAGAAAAGAAGGGAGAGAGGAGATATGATAGGGACATATAAAATACTCAGGGAATTGACAAAGTGGAAATAGATGAAATGTTCACACGTAATAATAACAGAACGAGGGGACATGGGTGGAAACTGGAAACTCAGATGAGTCACAGAGATGTTAGGAAGTTTTCTTTTAGCGTGAGAGTAGTGGAAAAATGGAATGCACTTGGGGAACAGGTTGTGGAAGCAAATACTATTCATACTTTTAAAACTAGGTATGATAGGGAAATGGGACAGGAGCCATTGCTGTAAACAACCGATAGCTGGAAAGGCGGGATCCAAGAGTCAATGCTCGATCCTGCAAGCACAAATAGGTGAGTACACACACACACACACACACACACACACACACACACATCAGAGTTCAGCAAGGTTTTGGCTAGCGTGTTGGTTATTGGTTAAGGGACGCCAATAATTGCCTGGGTGATGAATAACATAAGCGAGACAAGGCTGCCGCAACCTTCCACGGCCCCCGACCATTCGCAAGCTCTCACCTCATCATGACTCGATGAAGACCAGAAAATATTAGTTTTATTTTTTATCAGGTTAATTTTGATGAACCTTTTCCCATTACATACTCGATCAATCTAATATAAAACGTATAAAAACAAGGCTCAATATTCGCAATATAAATAGACAAATGGTAAAACAATATTTTATCTTGAATTAAAGATCTTTAAAGACTAACAAAACAGGAGAAGAAGGAGGGGTTATCGAACCCTTTGTTTCATCTTCGTATGCAAGTTATTAAGTTTATATATCTGTGTGTAAGCTATACAGAGACTAACTCGATCTTCTCCAGCCACAAGAACCTAACTATTCACAACTGCACCGCCAATTGAGGGAGATATACCATTATATCTTACACGGTTCTCGCTAGCGACGCCCGACACGTGAATTGGCAGACTTACATTGCTGGTTCTCGCACCGTGATTGGACAAGTGATTAAAAACCTGGTTTCCAAGACCAAGGCATGAAGTGACGGTGTTCTTGGCCTCCCTCCTGCAGGCGACTAGCTGACGGAGGCGGGAAAGGGAGCCTGGTGGTGGTGGCGACAGAGACGCTCTTCTCCCAGGGCCAGACGGCATCAGACCCCCTCCTGCAGAGGCTGTGGTCGGGCTCTAAGCTCACCTGCCAAGCTCTCATCCTCCTGCTGGATGAACCAAACACGGACCTTGCACTCAGGTACTGCTGTCTGTTCTCGCTAAGGAGCACAGCCACTCTTCCGTGCGGGACAAGTCTAATCATCTTATCATTAAACCATCTCTGCATTAAACCAGAGATGGTTTAATGCAGTTTCATTAAGTTCGTTTAAATGTGTTCCTTCACCAGCAGTAAACAAATGTATTTTATTGTTCTGCATACTTATTTTCTGCGAAATATTACGAAATTGTAAATTGTCGCAGGTTGCTGGATGCTGCTGGGTTGTGGCTTCATCCTCAGACCATGGTGGTGGTGGTGGCGGACGGCAGGTCAGGGATGGCAGCTCTTCTCCATCCCTTCGGCAGATCAGAGATGGCTGCCCTCCTCCGGCACTCCAGCCTCCGCAACACCATCCACACACTCTACATCTCTCTCAACAGCAGCAGCGACTATCAGAATTCCTCAGTTAACGATTCGCTCAGGACACAAGCCATTCAGAGAGGTAACATGTTAACAACTCCACCCTAAAGCAGAGCACAGCAGAAACGCACTCTTAGTTATACATTCAAATTTTTTTAAGTCACTAGATATTGATCAAATCTTAACTCATTTTAGATATAACACTAAACAGATAACTTCAAACAATGCATAATGCAAACTTCTACTAAGATCTTTCTTCTGTAACAAGTCAGGGCAGAAAGGACGCTACACAAACCGTAAAAGCCTCTTATTCCCGTGCAAAGATGATTTTCATAGTCTCCCTATATCTGTAAGGCATCAACATTTCGGGACAAGCCATTATACAGTCTATTCAGGGTGCCACAAGCATCAACTACATTGACTGAGAAGTCTCACTGATGTGCTACAGAGATTTCGAGCTCGTATCAATGATCAAAGCTCTCCAGTTTCCCTAGCTGTTACATTCCTGATAATTCTTTTATTTTGAAGGTCATCGATAGTTAGAATTCTCGTGAAGACGAACACCTGTCTCAGAGAGTATAATTTCCATCGTCTTAATATATCAAAGCCTTCCTCCTTTGCTATCCTTGTAGCGTACTAGTCAGTGGAGTCACAACCGTAAGGTTCCGGGTTCGATTTCAGGGGCAACGTTTCCTGCACGCTGATAGTTACCCGGGAGTTAGACAACTATTGTGGCTTGCATCCTGGGAAAAGGTCAGTAGTTGATTTAGGGGGACCTGGAGAAGTGTAACAGGCTTTCTGTCTCAGGGTATTACAAACTATGTAAACTATACCCCCTGAAGATAGAGCTTCAGTCTCTCACATTTAGGGTCCAGGGTTCGAGTCTCCTAAAGCCCAGGTGAATGGAATACCCGCTGAAGGTTTCGACGATGGCTAGGAACTGATTACCTACTGAAATTTGGATACAGGATTTAAGATTTTCTCAGCAGCAGCTGCTGGAGGAGGGAGGGGGCGTGTGAGAACGTACCGCCGGTGCCTCTACTGCGACCACGGGCAGGCGGGCATCCAGCTCCTGCGTCCAGGGAACCTCTTTCCAGGTTAGTCAGTTAGATGCAAATATTTACGTCACTGTTCGCATGAAACACAGCACGAACAGCGAGCCTAAAACCCACACACTCCGAAGCTGCCTTAAGGGTCTACATCTTAATATTTCCAGAGACTCTGAACAACATGATGGGGCACACCTTCAAGGTGGTGGCGCTGAGCTACTTCCCGCTGGTGGAGTACAAGAAGGTCAGCAACGACCCCAAGGACCTGCTGGAGCACGCTGACGCTCTCAACACCCGCATGATCGACATCATGGCTCGTCGCTTCAACTTCACGTCTGTATTCCTCTATTATAGCCTGTAATTTATGATTGGAGATATGGTACATTCAAAGTAAAACTACAGATGATTTTTTTATACATTAAACGATAACAAATATATATTTTCAACCTAGTTTAGAGCAGATCTGTAAACACAGCATGATTGATCCAAGTCTGATGACGTCTAAAGAGAGTACTCAGGCTCGACCAGCCCGTCTTCCAGAACGATAGTACTTATAACAACTAATTGGTTAAACGTACAAAATTCGACTGTTGGACCCCAAAAATTTCACGATTTGCATTGCAGAACTAGATTAAGCGACATAGTAAAAACAAGGGACACTAAAGAACCCGACCTGTACAGGCAATCCAATCGATAGCTAATATACGCTATCTTAGGCCTAATATTGCAGCCCGTCCTCCTAAGGTTTCCCAGCGTCAAGAAAACGGTCAATGTAAAGTGTCCTCTCCTAACCTACCAGAGGCCCCAAAACAGAAAACAGGACAGTACGTCACTTTCGCCAGCTGCTTCCATTTTCTTCTACAACAATTTTTGGCTGAATGTAACGCATCTGAGGGAAAAGCGACGTTCTGTGTAGGACAGGACATGCATATCCGTTATATACTAGGTCTAGGCATCATTAATTTATTTTTTCGTGCCCGCTACAAATTAATAGTAGAAAACGTGAGCATTGTTGGCTGTAACAGTTCATTTATATACATTCGACCAAATAGATCCTTTAAGTACTATCATATTAGGAGGAAGGGCTAGATCAAAGAGGATCTACTCAACTAACCGACTGGATTCTTTGAGAGGAAAATATCCCTACTGCTTGACGTTAATTTAAGGGACACTTGGCCAACAGGTACGAGATGAGAGAGCCGTGGGATGGTTTATGGGGGACCCCTACGAGCGGCGGCAACTGGTCAGGGATCGTAGGCACTCTCCAGCACCAGATGGCAGACTTCTCCATGGACCTCACACCTTCAGACGCCAGGATGGAGGTCATAGACTTCTCCAAGACTTACGTCTACGACCCGCTGATAATAATGTCGCTCCAGCCCAGTCCCTTGCCTCGTTCCTTGGCTCTGATCAGGCCATTTACAGGTATCATGCTATGATAAGGTTATTTTCAGGCATTTTGCAATGACGCCGTTTGAAGGCAGCACGCAATATTAAAACAGATGAAATAGACATCCCACCGAGGATCAGAAATTGTTGCGCATTTGAAAACAAACTGCAAACCCAAATATTGCCATAATTTACTAGTGTAATACACCTCAAAAGACACCATTCACACCTAAAGCGTAGTTTCATAATGTACATAAAATCGCTATCATTAGATTTTTCCCAAGCATAAAAACAAAGGTTTAATGTTTAAGTTATTGCTTCAAACTACGCCTAACTGCCTGCAGGGGGAGGGAGATATAGTTCTTAGGATTCTCCTTGCTATCTTACCTTACGACTCTCCTAGTTATCTTACCTGTGTCATATATTTTTGGAACGTTCTAGTTCTGTTGTAATTGTTTGTTCAGTCTGTGAGCAGAGTACTAACGTGTTGGAACTTGCCGGGCTCAGTTAGATCATAACTGAGTCACGGAGGTACAGAGGAAAGGTGTGTAGGCCAGAATTTTAACAGACGGTAACAGTGAAAAACATTTCTTTCAAGGGTTTATATTATATGGCATATTCTTACTGCTTCTCTCTCTCTCTGGGAGTTACATGCTCCTCGCTTCTCTCCAGGACCAGTGTGGGTGATGACGGTGGTGTTCACCTTCGCCACGGGCGTGTGTCTGTGGGTGCTGCAGAAGGCGTGGGCGTGGGTGTCAGGGAGGCGGAGCCCAGACCTCCTCTCTCGGGTCTTCTACATCTGGGGCGTCCTACTGGAGAACGAGCCCACCGGCCCGCCCGCCACCATCAACGGCAAGGTAGATACGGGTCTACCACAGGGGTAGAGCAAAGTAGATACGGATCTACCACAGACCACAAGGAAGAGCAAAGTTTATGTCTTTGACAGCCAGGTTAAACACCGCTGGATGTGTCCAGCGGTGCTGGACACATCCAGCACTTATTTAATGCTTCGCTGTATATATTCTATATTTCTTTAGCTGTTAAATGAGTAACGTACCTATGTTAATGTAATCTGAAAATATATTCCTATTTATAACCACGCACTCAAGTATCAGTTTAGGCTATAATCTGGTTGACGCAATACCGTCCGGTTCAGATGTTGGTTGGTTGGTGGCTGGTAGGGTGCCTGGTGCTGGCCACCGCCTACCGCTCCTCCCTCGTCGCCCACCTCTCCGTCCAGAGCAAGAACAAGCCCATCAACACCCTGGCAGACATTCTCAACCAGAAGGGCTGGTCCTGGGGAGCTCGACTCATGAAGGGAACAACATTCCTCTATTTTAACCAAAGTACCGATCCGGTCCTCGTCAAAATACACCAGAAATATGAGGCGAGTGTTTTAAACTCGTCTTAATTTTATACTTATATTTTACGTTTTGTTTATTTATCTATTTCAATCGAGTTATTTGACTTTGCATGGTCGAGTTTCAGTTCCTGGTCTACCTATTTTGATAAAGCTGCCAAACATTATTAGTGAGCAAAGGCTATTACAAGTATAATACCACGGGCACAGTGGTATCATACCGGTATTATATAGTAGGTCAGAAGACAGGAGGGATGGTGAACTGAGGAAGGTCAGTCATGACAGAATTAGATTAATATCATGATGGAGGAGCCTTCCCCCTCTGTCATGACACTGACTGACCTTCCTCACAGTCCACCATCCATCCTGTGCCATGACGGAACGTAAGTTCAGCGTCAAGATTGAAGGGACAAATCAGTCGTAACCTGAGGTCAAGGGCAAATGGATCTTGCCAATGCCTAGCTCTTGAGAGGGAATTTGACAAACAAGAACAACAAAGACTTCGAAAACTAGAACCTCAGCTTGTCAAACATTAGTGTGTAGTTTCTGTTTCGCAAGATGTTTCCCTCATTAGACATATGAACTCTGGTCTACTTTGAAAAATAACTATCGCATTTCCCTTTAGACTTGTTGTGCATTGATCTTACGACCATAATTGAGGAAACTGCAAAAAACCTATTGGCCCATACGAAGCATCTCCTATTAATATCCAAATTCATTCATATGTCTGACCTTCGCGTGAAAGAATCAAGTGATCCCACATCTGTTATACCGATAATCTGTTCCATAAATCAACAACCTTGTTTCCAAACCAACATTTAACTGCAATCATTTTCAGATCTATAATAACATACAAGATGCTGCGAAGCGGGTGTTAGCCGGTCGTTTCTCGTACATAGCCTACAAGACGGACATCCTCAACGAGATAGCCCCGCTCTACGTGGACAAGTACGGTAACACGCCCCTCTACTTCAGCACCACAGAGTATAACCTCTTCGGTGGGAACGCTTGGGGCTTCAGGCAAGTTGTTTTAGGTAGCCTACCCTACCCCTTCAGGCAAGATGTCTATGGTAGCCTACCCTACCCCTTCAGGCAAGATGTCTATGGTAGCCTACCCTACCCCTTCAGGCAAGTTGTCTTAGGTAGCCTACCCTACCCCTCCTTCAGGCAAGGTGTCTATGGTAGCCTACCCTAACCCCCCCCCCCCTTCGGGCAAATTGTCGTAGTTAGTCTACCCTCCTTATCTTCATGTTTTAAAGAGACATTTAGAATGTCTAGCGAAACCTCAGTATAGCGCGAAAGTATGTGAAAAATGTTGCAAACCTGCTACTGAAATTTAATATGTTTGTGTTTAAATTCTTGTCTTCAAAATTTTAATAATTTGAGCGAATATTTATTAGTGACCTATACAATTATTAATAGACCTAACTATACCTTTCCCACCGTAAATGCTAATTAGTATTAGCATTAAGTATATTTACACTAAAAGGTTGTTTCATTTCTTAAATTACTATGGAACACGATCTTAAATTTCTTGTACATCCCAGGGACCACACAAACCACGTATCCAAACATGCGCATACACAACCACAATAAATTCACACATAACTTAATAGACACAAACACAACCTTATATATATATACACACACACAAACAGCCTAACAGGCCTCGCAAAATATATTTCACAGAAAGGGCGCTCCGATTATCGGCCAAATCAGGAAGATGAAACAGAGGATGATCGAGGCTGGTCTGATCGACTACTGGCTTCAGGACCTGTATCACGCAGAGAACAAACACATCAGAGAAACACTCGGGAAGAACATTACAGTGCACATTAAGGTACAACACTCACACAAGGCAGAAAGAACAAACTTATTTACCTCTGACAAGTGTCTTGTAAATTGCATTATTTATAAGATATACAAAAATAGGCTTATCCTTACGGTACATGCTTACTGGGAGAAATGTCACTAAATATTGGACAAGTTAAGAGGCCTGTTCTATGGTTTTATTTGTTCAGCTTTATGTGTGTATTGAACTAATAAAGCTTAAGGACAGCTTAGGCTTAAAGCTTAGGACAGCTCTGTCCGAGTCTTATTTGTGCAATCCCAAGTTAAACTTGGCACTGTCAGTTAAAACAAAAAAGTGCGAAGGTAGGTACAGTTGTATACGTGTGGATAGTTACCATTGTTACGAGTGAGCTTCTTACAATAAGAAACCATAAATATTATATTGGTCAAATGGATCTGGTTCCATTTTCTATCCAGCCTGCAAGGAGAGGCTATATGGGAAGGTGAATTTAAACCGTAGCAAGCAAAATATTTCGGTCTTAGGTGCCCTGCTAGACTGCTTGTACAGTAAATTTGCCAGCTAACCCATTTTGTTCTTAACAACCTTCACATTCATCAAAGATGTTGCTATTGAATACCTCAGTTGTTTATTTACGATTATATACATACGCAATTAAAAGCACATTAACATATGTATCAATGTCGGGTTCAAATCCACATCAAGGCTCCTACTGATATTCTTACTACATACATGCACGCCAGATTTCTAGATATTTTCCCCCTAACACTATAATATTTTCAGATTGAAGACAAACAAGTGTTGGGAATGGACCACCTCCAGAGCGCCTTCTATCTCTGGTTACTAGGCTGCACGGCAGCTTTCCTCGCCTTACTGGTGGAGAAGTTTGCCCACTGCCAAGTCAACCTTCGACCATCGCAGCAGTGACTACGGTGAAACTGTTGCACGAAATAATGACCAACATTGCAGACAGTGACAATTCCAACATCGCCAGCACCACTGTATACAAGACGAAAGCCCCACCACACACAGCCCCGAACTTTTCAGATAATCAAAATGCGTGCAATCCCAACACCTATATTTATGTCGTTTAATAATCATAATTACTATTATTAAGAAAATATAAACGGGAATGTGATAGTGTGTTAATTAGTTGTTACAGAGGGCGTATATTTAATAACGCCACTAATGTTCTAAGCGTTTCGGGCATAACTAATTAAACGTTAAATTATTGACAGGCTTCGTGGGGATACACACAATATTAAACGAGAAGTAAACATCTATAGAGTATTAAAAAAATTTAGCAATATAAACCATTTTTATGAGATATTTAATGAAAAAAGGCATTGCACATGCTATTATAGAAATTGATTTTTTTTTGGTCACAGAACAAATATATATATATTTTAACATTTACAATAACAGCAACACAAAATTTACCTATTCTGGATGAGGCAATGCGAGTGAAATTTGCTACATGATGAACAAATAAAAGTGTAGTGTAGTGTGTGTTGCTACATGATGATAATTTGACATTTCTTAGTCTCTTTTTAAACTGGCTGAGAAAAAGCACAGGTTTAATTGTCAATCCAAAATTTTGAACCCTTAATTTGCATTGCATCTGTGCTTTGGTTGAGTCGCATTCTAGGAATATCAATCAGTTGTTTGTTGTGTAGTCCCAAGGGTTGTGTTACAGCCCTCTGTAACACAAGTGAAGTGTTACAGTTTAGTGAAGCAGGCAATTATTAATGGTACTATATATACGAGGCTGCAACAACTAATGTATGTGTGTATATAATCTAGGAACAGCCTCGTGCACCGCTTTCTCTCTCTCTCTCCTGTGATCCCACCATTAGGCTTCGAAATGCATTTATAAATATTTCACAATGACCGAGATAATAATCAGAAGAGGTTGCACGGCTGAGGGCCTTATGAGAGGTCATTACAGTCCAAAACAAACTCCCAATAGAGCCTACGTCATCAGTGACGTCACAATACCAAATCTATTACCATGATGTTATTGTCAATACGTTATTATAGTTCTTGACGTACTGTTAACCTTGTATCCTATATTATATACACTGTCAAATTCTCTCGATACGTAATAGAACATTTAGTTAATGGCATCATTAGTCACAATGATCTAGATTAAATTTAAAACCAGTGTTTAACCACCCCACACAACATATTATTGCATTTGACAATACAACGTGATAATAAACTCATATATAATTACTGACCTTGTTGAGGCAGGTGTTCATGATTGATGAGGTGATGAGTGGCCCCCTTGTGGCACACTCTTGCCCCTGCTCCTCACACCTAATTACTCAGCTTCCGAGTGTCTCATGTTGTTGCTCATTAATGTTTATTCGAGTGTAATTACTTGAGGGTAAAGGTCACCGAGCAAGAAACACCTCCTCTCCGTCCGGCGGCTGGTGAGAGTGACCTCGACGCCGCCTCGCCTCTCCTCACGTCGACTTTCTTCCCCCATTTGAGTTACTTATCCAGAATAATATATCTGAATTAATTCTGGTATTTTACTCGTAGTAGTCACCTGTTTCTTTATTAGTAACGCTTTTATTACTTTTACAGTTGCTTGTGATATACTTGATCGTCTTAGAATGCTGTATTAATTTAAATAAAAATTGGAATTTAATATCGCGTGTTATCGGTAATTTTAGTGACAGCATAAAAATTATTTGCTAACAATTTTCAAGGATAGAACTTTGTAAGAAACACTGCAATTTTGACCTATGGTGTCTTCATGTTAGAAGCTTTATGTTTAATTAGTAATTTATACTCGTCAATTTATTAATTGTAAAATAATAACATAAATGGGTCACCAGTGTTGGAAACAGCTGTGCTCACACCTGATTGGTCAATATTGTCAGAGATTGACACGTCGTACATTTATTAAGTAATTAACGCACTTCATTACATTTTTCCTATCACCATAATCAATGAAAATTGGCTTACTTAACTCTTTTGACCGAAATAATTATTTCAATATTTTAGCGTGTCGAAAATATGTATATATTTCTCTCCATAGCAAACTTTGGTGAGGCTATTGCTAAAGTCTAACTTCGGCCAGGAAACTTTCGAACACTTGTGTCAAAAGAAAAGACAGGCTTTTTGCACATATCTTGTTACTAAATTAACACAGATACTTTATTTAGATTTATTTTAGGTTCCGAAACGGTGGGGTTTGATGCGTTAAGCTTATTTTAGGATAGATTGGGTTACGTCAGGGTTTAAAACTGACGAAAGATTAGCAGATGCAGTTTACCGCGGGAATATTTAGGCTTCTGAGGTTACGTCAAGACATCAACCATATATTCCTTTATAATCCATATATACCTGAGTACGGTACGGACGTGTGTTGTTCGTCTTACGCCAATCGAGTATATATTGCATGTTCATGCACAAAATCATGTTTTTCCCCACAAAACCACTTGAACATAACTTTCAATAAATGCATGATAAATATGCATCAACAACGGTAAATCCAGACAAGAGTCCACCCATACAGTATAAGGCACGTGGGACTGACTATATGCTCGACTTGGATATATTATCTCATACTTTTATAGATATTATACATCATATTTTTTTCTTCAAGTTGAAAATGAGCCAGAATACTTACATATATGTATAAAATACATGCACTTTACTGCAGGAATATTTAGGCTTCTGAGGTTACGTCATGTACTCTATTAAAACAGCAGATATCCCAAATTAATAACAAAAACAACAGTTATATATTTTTGACAACAGAGGTTTAGATGAGCCGCCTTCTTCCAAGACGGAGGTTAAGGAAAGCCTCAATAAATCGTCATCTGCTATATTTAGAAAACAATGACACATTGTAATATCGAAGCCTACTATGATGTTGTTTCACAGCAATGACAATATCACAGGAACTTTAAGAACGCAGTATTATACAGTTATACAGTCAAAAGTGACATTCCTTCCCTGGTTCCTGATACAAAAAGGATACAAAATACAGCCACCTTAAGGAAAGACATTAATGTACTACAGTAAAAAAAAAACTAAGATGGCCTACACAGATTACAAAATAAAGTACAGAAATGTACAAAATTAAAGTCAGGCAACATTGAGTATTACACTACATCAACAAAGACAAATATTTGTTTGAAGTTCTACCCAATATTATGTTAAATATGTTGCAACATGAGCATAGTTATCTGGTATAAAAAAGAAGACATACTCTCCCGTGACAAATCTTTGTCACGTCTTACCTGGCGAGGCTTTAAACGGCTCTACTGTCTTAATTACGCCTCACAGCCTCCCTCGTCTCACGCTCCTTCACCCTGACGATGGAACTGATAGTACAGGTTGTCCCTGGTGCTGGTACAAGAGGAAGGGGGAGGCTTACCCCTCTCATCCCCCTTCTGTGGCTCGATCATTTCCCAGTCTCAGCCACTTATGTGCACAACTTAGGAATTGCACACACGCACGCACGCACGCACGCACTCACACACACACACACACACACATATATATATATATATATATATATATATATATATATATATATATATATATATATATATATATATATATATATATATATATATATATATATATATATATATACAAATTATTAAAATACTCTTTCTTCCCTTTTCAGAGACTGAGGTTAATATGTGATATAACAATGAATTTTTAAATAAATTAATATTCTGGCAAATTAGACTTTTCAGGCTTTTGAACTGGACAATTTCTTCTTAAGATTTTGGGTCCGTGGGAGACCAAATGGTTGCACTTATATACTCACCAAAGTTATACATATTTCAAGAATTATACTCTAAACAGATGGTCAAATGAGCTTTATAATATATAGTATATGTTGCAACAATCAACGTTTCCTAAAAACTTACATATAAATTATATACATTATCGGTAGCTGTACAGATCAACGATAATTACACCTTAATACTGTAGTCTTTGTTATTTCGCCCAGAAACGTAAGACCTAAACTGAGACCGAGAATGACCAATGTAGGCCCCGGAGGCTCCAGGCGCGCCGGAGGCCGCCTCGCCCTCATTGTTCCTCTTTCTGATCTCTAGGTCACATTCCGCTTCCGACAGCTCGTTGTGGCTACTGGAGAAACCAACGGGAGGCGTGATCTTGCGGGTGAACCCGTATTTGCCATCGTCCGAGCTCTTCGGCTCAGCCCCGGGAACCATCTTTTTCTGGAAGGAAAGGCTGGTCTCCTGCGTCGCTCCTCTGATGCTGGCAGCCATCTTGTTGAGGCCGCGGTGACTGAAGGCACCAACCCGCGACGCCTTGCTGCCCTCCGTCTTGCGCGGGAAAGACTTGCGCTCCAGGATAGGCGAGGGCTCTGTGGACGTGCTCGACTCCGGCGCGTGATATATCAGATCTAGGGAGGAATCATTGTTTTAGTTTGGGGGAGGTAATACAAGTGTTGCAGAAAATACGAACCTAAAAAAAATGAACACATTCTGAAAATGTAGTTTCCACACAAGGCAAATTTTGCTTATGTTTTCATAAGAATTCTGGGCAAAACTTTCCTGATGAGAAAAGAGTAATAATGATCTGAGTATTTGAGTTCACATCATCAATATTATCAAGTACTTGAGGGTATGAGGCGTAGTCAGGGATATGACCGCGTCCCCAGGCGCAGGACTCACTGTGGTGGACGTTCCTGGCGGCGGCGGCCTTGCGGGAGCCGTGGGCGGCAGCGTGGGCGTCCGGGCGTCCCTCGAGCGTGGCCAGGTGAGGGTCCAAGGGCAGGTGGAGCGTCGCCTGGCTCTCCAAGGTGGCGGAGTCCAGGTGGATGGAGGACTCGGTGCGGGAGGAGGTGGCGTGCTCCGTGTCGGTGTCGGACTGCAGGGAGTCATACTCTTCACTTTCACTCCGAGGACCGCCCACACCGCGCCCATGACTGCGACTACGCCCGTGGGCCTTTATGGGCGTGGGGCGACTGGGCTGATGGTTGGCACACATTGGGTAGGGTTGGTGGGAGGGCCAGGTACACGAGTCTTAAGGTACGCGGCGAGGCTACTCCTATATCACCTCACTATAATGGCTCGGTGAGTCGCTGATGGCTTAAGGCGCTATCAACATTTCAATTTTAGTTACTGTTAAATAATTAATCTGTCAGTTTAAGGACAACAATTTATCGTGATCAGATTCTCCAGTAGTTTAATGCGTGTATATAAACATGCTTAAATTTTCTGCAAATTTAAATAAAAAATCCTAAAAAGTTTTAGGATCCTTTTCATTATGAAAATTATGCTAATTTAATTTTAGAATTCAGTTCACTGTACGAGAAAAAGAAGCATGCATTTATGAGAATGATTCATGAAACTAATTAAGTGTATATTATCCCAATCTCTTGTATTCAATTCAATCGCAACAGGGTACAATCCATATTCTGTAGGGGACGTCCCGGCCGCCATGACATTGAAAACTCCTCACTAATAAATGTTTGCGAAGATTATTAATTCTAAACTGCGACAGCAATAATATATTAATTTCACTAGTGCCAACGTGCCCATATATATATATATATATATATATATATATATATATATATATATATATATATATATATATATATATATATATATATATACCCAATTATATAAGCCTTCTTCGAGGCTTATGGGTCCCTACAAACAACCAGAGGTGGTACCCCTTATATATATATATATATATATATATATATATATATATATATATATATATATATACCACTGAATTCGATATAAGATACAAATGCATATATATATATATATATATATATATATATATATATATATATATATATATATATATATATATAGGGGGGTACCACCACTGGTGTAATTATAGGGACCCACAGCCTCAGAGAAGGGAACACAGAGCACTCAGGGAAAAACTTGACATTTAACTCTGAATACGAAAGAGTGTTCACTTCTCCTACCACCCCCTTTTTTTTTTTTATTATGATGTACACTTTATTATGCAAGGTTATACAGTTACATATCTGATTTTATACAAAAAATGAACATTAAGAGGACACAAGAAAAAGTTCGCTTCCTAGAGGCTGTAGATTTCCTCGAACTCCTCCGACGCCGGGCAGGAACCGAGGATGCAGCGGGCATTTCCCCTCTGGATCGCGACACTGAGGCGCTGAAAGAGAAAACTTGCTGCTCTAGGGTCTCTTGTGGTGTCAATGAGCTTGGAACCAAGATCCTTAAGAAACCTTCTTGCACTCTCACCCCATGGGCCTAGGGTCTCAGACCCTATTGGAACGAAATTGTACCTTTGATCTAATTGCCTGTACTTGACTGACTTTTTGTTTTTCTCTGTGTGTCGCTGCGGCTCCTGCCGTGCCGGCAGAGAGGGTGATGTATGTCGTTGCCAGGGTGGATACGCAAGTATAGTCCCATGCTAACTGCCTGCCACCCTTCCACGGACGCAGTGTGATTCCGTCTGGTCGGCCGGCAAAGCTAACAGAGTCACGGTTCAGTAGGTTGCGGGGCTCTCTCTCCGCTGGACACTGAGCAGAGGCAAGGCTTCTTTTAATGATGTCGTTGACTTCGTCGTGTCTAGTGTGCCAACCACCCGATTTTCCACAGTGCAGGCCATGCAATCCATATTCGTCAGCATCTGCCTCGCCGCAAATACACCTGTGAACAGTGTGGATAGGGGCAGCAAGGCGGAGAGCGACTGCAATACGGAGCTCCTGCGGATCAAGACGTGTGCCTGTCGCAGACATAGGGACTGCCAGAAGAAGTCCCCTGCATGGGGAGCCTGCACAGCTGTGAGGCGTGCACGATCACTGGGGGTTGTTGCTGCCTCCAGCAAAGCTGTGGCTCCTTTGTCTACAATGGGGCTGTCCCAACTGGATTGTTTCTTGGCTTTCGGCATGGCTGGTCTGAGTGCTGGGTCTGTCATGGCACCCCATTTCGTGTCACATTCCGTGTAGTGGGGGTATATATATGTATATATATATATATATATATATATATATATATATATATATATATATATATATATATATCTTTCGACAAAATGTATGATATAGGGTGTCATAACTAAGTATCTGGAATTGCCTTGTTAAAAACAATGACAATTCTATAATTAATGATCTATTCCCAGAGAGAGAGAGAGAGAGAGAGAGAGAGAGAGAGAGAGAGAGAGAGAGAGAGAGAGAGAGAGAGAGAGAGAGAGAGAGAGAGAGAGAGAGAGAGACGAGAGAGAGAGAAAGAGAGAGAGAGAGAGCGAGAGCGAGGGAGAGAGAGAGAACAGAAGAGAGAGAGAGAGAGAGAGAGGAGAGAGAGAGAGAGAGAGAGAGAGAGAGAGAGAGAGAGAGAGAGAGAGAGAGAGAGAGAGAGAGAGAGAGAGAGAGAGAGACCGAGAGAAAGAGAGAAGAGAGAGAGAGAGAGAGAGAGAGAGAGAGAGGAGAGAGAGAGAGAGAGAGAGAGAGAGAGAGAGAGAGAGAGAGAGAGAGAGAGAAGGGAAACGTGTGCCCAATCATTTCTGTCCCGTCCGGGATCGAGCCCAGGTTCCTAGGTAGTGAGCCGAGGACTGAGAGTATGAAACCTGGAGATGAGTCTTGCACCCGCACACTCTGTAAGCTTAAGATCATTCACGGAGTGCTCATGTATTATTAACACTTGGCCATATTTAATTACATTTATAAAAAATTAGAGGAAGGAACACAGCTAAACATCAGAGATCCATCACTAAGGAACCACTCAAGGAACCAGTCAAGGAACCACTCAACGAACCTCTCAAGGAACCAGTCAAGGAACCAGTCAAGGAACCAGTCAAAGAACCTCTCAAGGAACCACTCAAAGAACCATTCAAGAAATCAGTCAAGGAACCACTCAAGGAACTACTCTAAAAACCACCACGTAACCATACGAAGGAACCACACTGTCTACTCAACCACAACCCAGCAGTGAACACAGCACTGTCATCCTCCTCCTCCTCTCACTGTCATCAACTGCATTGCACCAACACCCTTTCATCCACATCTCCCATTGACATCAACCCTCACCAGCCTCGCTACCTTCTACATCCAGGTGTTGGGAGGAGGGGAAAGAGGGCAGAGGTAAGGAAGAAGCACCTACCGAGGTAGGGGGTCGTCCCTCCGTCACGCCATAGCGTGTGTCCTGGAATACGAAGGTCTGAAACTTGGCCGTGGCGGTGTCATCCTGTCCTCCTCCGCCTCCGCCTCGTCCCTCTCCGAGCTGGAAGGTCGCGTATGGGTAGATGTCCTCTGAGTACTCTGTCGGGGGAAAGTAAGTAATTATCAAAAGAAAGCCCCAAACCGGGAAGGCTATGTAGCACCATCAAATATGTGGAATAATCAGAGGGCGCTAAATATCACCAAGGATGCCAATACGAGAACAGAAACGCATAAAGCGAATGATATCAAAAGTATCCGAGTCACCAAGAATTCTATAGAGGGACAAGCGACCGCGAGGGACGGTCGTCTGTCGGGGGAAAACTCTCATTATTGAGGACCAAGAAAGTGCTCTTCAAGAAGAGAAAGTGTTTGTTGACCTTGACTGAAATAATGTGGCAGAACAGTATTAAGGTGGTGGAGTGTACAGTAAATGGTAATCTTGTGCAGGTGAGAAATTGTCGTATTAACAAGAAAAGACGTTGCATTTGTGAATGTGATATTTTGTATATTTTGATTAAATGTTAATTAAGAAAGCTACTTTATTCAGAAGAAACTTGATTGGACTAATTTTTTCTTGGATTGACAAAGTATTGTACGGAAATTCCATTGTCTGATCAGCGTCCACTGTCTTCTAAATTTTATAATTAAAGTGTTGGTCTTTTATTTCGGCAAACTACACTGCAGCACTACATGTTCCTTATCGATGTCTATGGCCATCTTCAGTAGCCCATGATATCTTGCATACTGCCCTTCAGCTTCTGTTATCTTATTTCATGAATACGTAAGAAAAGGAGTCCTGTAACTCTGTATCTGTAGGCAAGTCAGTGCTAAGTGTGTCGAGCAGGACGTGAGAGGTATGCAGCAAAGACCAACTCTCCTGGACCATCGATATGGTGACTGATGCTGCTTCTCAAGATGAGAAAATGGCCCGGAGAAATAATACCAGCCAGGTATCTCCTAGCTCTTGCCCAGTCAACACCATGAAACACTAGTGATGGACGAGCTTTCATTATGGACAGTGTTTGGCTTTATGAAGTACTTGTTCAGGTCGATTGAGAATATACACAAAATTTATAGCTTATATGCACCGACCTGTGGGGGGTATATAAGTTGATATTATTATGCAGTCTCCATCACACTTTAAGAAGTTAACCGTTGCCAGTAACGTTAGGTTTGTCTCTGGTGTTTGGAGCACTATGACGGCAGCTGCTGCTTCTTGGCCATGCAGTGAGATGTAAAGGCTCATTTAGCTTTGTATGGCCTCGGTTTCTTCTTATTAAAACTGTATATATATCGTTATGTGTTAGGTTAGGTTAAGTTGGTCTGGGTTAGGTTAGGTTGGATTAGGGTATGTTAGGTTGGGTTGGGTTAGGTTAAGTTAGGCTGGGTTAGGTTAGGGTAGGCTGGGTTAGCTTAGATTCGGTTGGGTTGGGCTAGATCGGTCTTAAAATTAGTTTACGACCCGTAATATGCACGGCATTTTATTCTATATCAATCAAGAACATATTCTATAATACACTACTCAAAAATATATTCTCTGTACTATAAAATATCTAATAGTTTCTGGGCTCTTCAGATGCATTACAATCTCTTCTACACAAAATAGGATATTAGAATTTGATATTTAATAATTTTAGAACTATATATTGCAAGCTATTTAGTTTTTGGCTTTAATTTCTTATAAAGCTAATCACTTCTAATGGCTGAGTCAAACCTGCCTTGTTCCTGGTACACCAAAAGCAAGAAATGCTAAATACAAACTTTGCAGATACATTACTTTTATACCAATCTGTATCAGTGATATCAAGATTATCTAATATCACAAGAACACAGCCTGCGAAACAGTTTTTAGTTTATTTACCAAAATTTTACAAATGTGTCCAGCTCGTCCTGTAGGTTCAAGTTCCATCGTCAATTAATATTTTTCTGCCTTAGGCTTCCTTGTTATGGGTCCCCTGTCTCTAGATAACTCCCCCCCTCCTGTAGGTTCCTTCATCCTTGGATTATCCCCTGTAGGTTCCCCATCTCTGGAAAATCCCCCTGTAGGTTCCCTAGTCGCTGGATCACCTCCTGTAGGTTCCCTCTGAACTAGGTTACAACCTGTAGGTTTCGTTATCGAGTCACTCACGTCTGCAACATGTCACCTTGAGGTCCTCTTCTTCAGGACCACAAACCTTCAAGACATCTAAAGGATATGCTTAACATTTCAGGCTGCCTTAGATATATCCTCAACTCCTCAGGTCCCCAGTAGGTTGGGAAACCTGAGGGGGTTCCCCAGTAAGTAGGTCCCCAGCCCTCCAGGTTACCATTTGTCACCCCGATCACCCTTCAAGTCGCCATAAACAGGACCTGAAACCATTCACGTCAACCGCAGAGTCGTCACCTTTTGGGGCACCTCAGCATTGCATTCCAGGTCGCCCTAAAGGCATACCAGAAACCTGACAGGTACTGACAGTGCGAGATGTTTTGGATCTGGGACGGTTGGGGGGATACCTGTCTCCTTCTCCCTGGTACCTGGTATCCTCTCCAGCGTGGCAGGTACCGGCTGAGGCTTCCTGACGGTGGCGTAGTAAGCGTCACGTTGCTGCAGGAGGTTGGTCTTGTTCTCCTCCACCTCCTGGTCTTCTTGTGACGCCCGACTGCCGCGTCCTGCCGCAGCTCCTGAAGGACAGGAGGAGAAAGTTAGTACAGATGACAAAGAGGTGCCAAGACATAAATAGGGGAAAGATGTGAAAGAAGGAAACTAATACGAAGAGGAGGATCAAATATGAAGAAGGAAAGGGAGATAGACAGTAAGAAGAAAAGATAGATACACATCCGAAAGGAGGAGATAAACAGTAGGAAGAAAAGTAAGATAAACAACATGAAGGAGAGGATGATAAACAGCCGGAAGGAGAAGATGAGCAGGAGGAAGGAACAAGCAGTGAGACGACGAAGAGAAGGATAAATGGAAGAGGATAAGAAGTCACCAGTACTGAAGGAGACAACAAGTTCGGAGAGAGAAAGAGTTATTTAGTCAGTTTCTAACGTGATTTCACCTGCCGGAAACTTCTAATTATACTTTAAACATAGACCATCATACATGAAATGTTTTTTTTCAATCTAAGTGAAGGACGTCAGTGGGAATATTGCAATACTAAGAGCTTACTATGAACTGATCAACTCACAACTGTATGTGGCTATGGAGGTGTAGAGAGAGACTTGGGCAACAGTCTAAGATATTGAACAGAACAGAACAGATATTGAATGAGTCGCTACTCCAAGTATTTATCCAAAGCAGTATTCAAAATGAATCGACTATACACAGTTTGGTGAAAAAGTAAAAAAAAAGGAATAATGTGGGAAAATTTTAAATAAGGTAAGTTAAAACCTTATTTAATTTAAATAAGGTTAAAGTAAGGTAATTTTAAATAAGGTCCTCATAAAGTCACTGCGAGGAAAAGTTGTCTGACTTCTCATTCACTCCTTCTAAATAAGACGCAGCAACTATTTACCTCAACTATGGTACAGCTGGTGTGTGGTGCACGTACCTACTGCTGCTCACTATACGTCATTGTCTTAGCCTACATCTAGAAGCAACACCATCTTTCCAGAGCAAATAGCAACAGTCTGTTCAGCAAAAACAATCAATATCCACCGAGACTGCAAAATGAGTCTAGAACTACAGCCTTCAGAAACTACAGACTGCTTACTCACCAATCTCACCCCACCGCCAAAAAGGCTAGCTTACCCCACTCAATACTACCTCTAATTCAAAGCGGCCACATACAGGAAAGGTAACTTTGTGTAGCGTGTGAAGCTGAGATCACATACGTGGAGACAAGAACACTCACCTGACTACACACCACAGGTCTTCAACCACAAGAGGATGGCACCAGTAACTTAGCACCGTTGGCTTTACATTACAAAGTTTTGAAAACAAAGGAATATAACAAAAATTGTGGGCTAAATGATTTACTAATATAAATAAAATTTATTATATAATCCTCCTCTCAATATTCGTTTAACAAAACACAAGTTCAGACAGACTTTTTTGGGAGTAAAAGATGAAGTTGTTCATAAGTAAATAAAAAGAAAAATCAAATCAAGAGGTTCTACAGATAATCCTCTATGCATAAGATCTTGAAGTTAATCTGGTAAGATATGCAGCTGCGGACTGTTGGTGTGAAGAGACGCAGAATCGTCTCTCTGTAGATGATTCAAGCTTTAGACTCTAAAGCTTGAAAATAAAAGTACACACGAAAGATTATTGAGTGGAACACAAAATGATTGCTACTGACGCAGTATCATGTTCAAGGCCTAAACCCGAGTAGTTTTCACCTTATGGAGTATGATATAAAATATGAAAAGCACATCAATGACACTATTGCAGAAGATATTGATAGTCCACAATTAACATGACTGTCACAAGAGCATCCACCATTGGGTACATTCGGTGCCAAAGAACTGAAGATAAGAAAAAACTATTTGCACTTCCTACCTCACACTGTTTTTCTTAATAATAATTCACTAATCATAAAAAGGAGTATATTTAAATTAACATAACTGTGAAAGTAATGAAGATTTTGAAAACAATGAAATTCTGCTTGCCCCAATCTCTCGTACAGAAACATGACGCTCACCCTCATTTGAAAATGAACCAAGAGAACAGATACCACAGCCACCTGACAATCTAAGTGCTTCTGAGACGTCAAGTGTTGAGAAGAACACTGTTTACCAGTGTGCTTTTCCCGCAAAGTGTTGCGCGGGTGAGAGAAGCAACTCACGTCTCCTGAGGCAGAGAACAGCGGCGGCGACGGTGAGGGCGAGAGCGAGGGCGGAGGCCGCTGCAGAGGCCAGGAGGCGGGGGTCAGTGTGCAGGGGGTTGGGTGGTGCCTCCTCCAGCTCCCCCACCGGCTGCGCCCCCAAGCTGCCCCCGGGACCCGTGCTGGTGTTGACGGTGGTGGTCGTGGCCCCGGCAGCGTTGTGCGCTGTCAGACGGATCCCGAAGGTGGCTCCGGCGCGGAGGCTGCCCACCTCGTACACGTTCCTTGGGGCCAGGCTGCTCGCCACTGCACCGTTCCCGAGAAATGACAGAATTGCGTAAAGTAATTATCAGAAGAAAAACAAACTGAAAATAACGTTAAATCAAAGCAACTTTACAAATAGGGGGACGAATTTGATTTTGTACATATCAGTTTGTCTATAAAAGTTAGTGTTGTCATCATAGGCAAATATTTACAAAAATATACAGCTGTATGATGCAGGCCGCATCCATCACTGTGACTCAAAACACCTAAAGACTTACACGTTGTGAAAGAGGATTCTCTGGGTTGTCTGAGCTCGAGGGTGAAGTGTGTGATGGGGCAGCCTCCGTCCCCCCACCTGCCCAGCCACACCCAGATGCTGGTGCTGTTCCCGGAGGCCACCTGGCGGGTGGGCGGGGCCACGGGCGGCGAACCTGACGTGCGGGCGGTCAGTGGACGGGAGGGAGGCGACACGCCCACATGCGTCCTCGATGTTACATATACCTGAAGAACAGAATACCTTTAGTGTAGAAATATTTAGTTGTAAATTGCAGTGTTCATTTTAGGCCCTTGATGTAATTTGTATAATAAATTTTGAGGTTATAACAGAATGAGATAATGTAGATAACTATTATCTTTTGATAATAATATTACATGTAGAAAGATGCTCCTTTGGTAAACATGGCATGTTCATCATAATGCTTTTTTTTGTCTAATATACATATTAAGTGATCGAGTGTTGTGTGCTCACTGGCTATACGGGATGACCTACCTAGTATACGGCCCCATGTTACAGGTAAAGCTACTTGGTACTAGGCCCCAACATGGCAGTAAGTCGTACCTGGTACTCAGCCACACATGAAAGGAAGACCTACCTGGTACTCAGCCACACACTGCAGGAAGACCCACCTGGTACTCAGCCACACACTGCAGGAAGACCCACCTGGTACTCGGCCCCACACTGCAGGAAGACCCACCTGGTACTCGGCCCCACACTGCAGGAAGACCCACCTGGTACTCGGCCACACACTGCAGGAAGACCCACCTGGTACTCGGCCCCTCACTGCAGGAAGACCCACCTGGTACTCAGCCACACACTGCAGGAAGACCCACCTGGTACTCAGCCACACACTGCAGGAAGACCCACCTGGTACTCGGCCCCACACTGCAGGAAAACCTACCTGGGGTACTCGGCCCCACACTGCAGGAAGACCCACCTGGTACTCGGCCCCTCACTGCAGGAAGACCCACCTGGTACTCGGCCCCACACTGCAGGAAGACCCACCTGGTACTCGGCCCCTCACTGCAGGAAGACCCACCTGGTACTCGGCCCCACACTGCAGGAAGACCCACCTGGTACTCGGCCACACACTGCAGGAAGACCCACCTGGTACTCGGCCCCACACTGCAGGAAAACCCACCTGGGGTACTCGGCCCCACACTGCAGGAAGACCCACCTGGTACTCGGCCCCTTGTCGGAAAATCCGACACCATTTAATAATCATACAGATAATAGCTGTGTTGTATAAACAAGTTACCCATAGAAAACGTAACTTGTAGTGGAATTACCGTCTAAAGAAAACGGGATATCATCACCACATACTATTATAATTCACCAGCTATTCTGCTGGGAATTATTCTTAAATACATTAGTCTTTGGACTTTACCATCATAAAACATCTTATATAAATTAACTTAATTATCAATATTAAAGTAGAGTAAATGTGACCCTTCTATCACTTTCTGAAATCTGGACAAAGTAGGCCAGGCGTCAGGGAGGAAGGAGGGAGCCATTGTTGTGTCACCTCCGAGACGTGTGGAGCAAATTCGGCTCCTATCATTCTGGACAATGTCGGCCAGTAACGTCAATAGTATGGAGTGTTAAACAGCCATTGTTTATAACGAGACCAGAGGCTCACACGGGAGCAAATTCGGCTCCTGTTAATTTTACTTGGACGTAGTGTTATGGAAACCAAAGGTACCATTTGTCAACACGCTGTCTACAAATTCAAGTTAAGTGTCTATCCGAAACCCGTTTATCATTCATTTATGGCCATTAATGTCAGGATATAGGGTGACCCGGTTAGATCACGTGGAAGCCTCAAACTAAAGGTAATTAAGCCAGGTCTTCAATGTCCATGTACTGTATAGTGTTTTCTCTGATATAGCTTGTCATATATAGGATTCTGGCTTCACAGCTAGCGCACTTTTGACAGGTCAAGACGAGGATGCAAGATTTGTGCACCAGTTACTGGGTGATATGGAAGCTACCTCAAAGAGGATAATTTGGTGTCTACACCCTAGTTATACCTGGTGGACTAACCTGCTGTACTATAAGATAAGGAACCTCATCAATGTATGTAGTTATTTCTGTAGTTTGATTGGCTGCATATATATAAACTAATAAACCCCCCCTAATGTGTAGAGGATCGATTTGTGAGATTATGAGATTATTGCAGAAATACAGTCCACTTATCATTATACAAATTGCTATCGAAGTATATAAATTAACGTAAATATAAATTCATATAAATTAAATAAATATAAATCTCACAGGTCGGTTCCCACATTATTTGGACCTTCGGAACCGGAATATTTGGTCCTTTGAACCCACATTTGGTCATCTTAGTACCGGATGAACCAGTTAACCAGTGGATTCATTAAATATACTAGTGCAGTGTTATTTAAACAAAGCCAGCAGTCAAGACGGCAGCGTAGCCTCGTGGGAGCTCAGGAGCCTCCCTCAGCCCAGTTCAGCTTCGTCAGCGGTTTCATGCACACCCACAGATATTTGGTGGCGTGTTATTTCGTGAAATGACAGCGCTAATATAGAAGCCAGCCAAATTAGTGACTGTGTCGCGAGATTGTTCACGGATTTCGTGGTGTTACATTTCGCGAGAGATTATCTACGAATTTTGTGGAGTTTATTTCGCGAGGTCACTAATAATATTTAATACTTCTAGATAATATTAGAAGTTTCATAGAGGCTAATTAAGAGGCTATTATCAATAATTGTGTATATTATTTCTCCAAAATAGAGAATTATTTAATATATATTGCACTAGTGATCACAGTATAATATTTACTAATTGCCAACCCACAACAGGGTAGGATATGACTAGTTGAACTATTATTGTTCATCCTAGTCCCATTATTACCATAGTCAGTTGTACTATATTGAATAACCTAACACCATTAATGAATGGTCCAGACCCTATTTTGGGTGTAATTTTTATCAACTCGAGTTGAGTTGTATATATAATAATTTACTTATGATCATTACACCTTTGAGTGATTAATTAGTGTCTCTACCATCCTAGGGTGATATAGAAGAGCTAACCTAAAGGTACTTCCAGTGACACTGGTTTATCACTCAAATCATTAGTGTGTATGATTGTATATATATAATGTGTATTAATTTTAAGTGCTAACCTCTAGTAGAGGTAGGATTATTGCCTAGTGAGTGCAGAATTTACCCTAGGCTACCATCAGTGCTTGTTCAGTATTATGAGCAGCCCAAGTACAAGCCCCACAAGGCTTCACCAACTAGCCAGTATGGATAATGCAGGGAGAATGAAAAGAACCCTTGCAGGTCTTAAAGGCCACTTAACAAGACAGATCAAGAAATGTGAAGATTTGTCACAACAATCAACAGTTGATTATGCTGACCTGGAAAGCTATTATCAAGCAGCTGCAGGTAAATTTGAGCAAATCAAATGTCAAATAGCAACATATGTGGCTGAACTTGCCAACACTAATTTATCAGAAACAGAAATAGACGACATTATGGTTGATCTTGCGAATTATGAAGATCACACTCAGGCCACGTTACAGCCTTATGTCAAATTAATTGCCCAGAACAAGGCAACAGCAACAACAACAACAGTTGCATCTAATACGAGTCAAGCAGAAGCTCGACTCCCTCCAATTAATTTACCCACTTTCTCAGGAAAAGATGAGGAAGATTGGGACGAATTTTGGAACAAATTCGTTGACCTTGTAGACTCAAAACAATCTTTACCAAAGAGTAGTAAATTCTCTTATTTGCAAGGTCAATTATCAGGTGAGGCTAAAACAGTAGTATCCCATCTGAGATTAACTAATGACGGCTATGATCTGGCAGTAAAACTCCTCAAGGATAATTATGCTGATCCAGAAGTAAGAACATCACATTTAGTTCATGAGCTGTTGCATTTACCCCCACCGGAGGCTTCAGCTGATTCACTCCAAGTCTTCAAGCTGGAGGTAGAATCATTGATCAATGCCCTCAGCCTGACAGCAGATACAAACGGGGCTGAGTGGGTCTTGAAAATAATTGTCCAGGAGAAAATACCTAGGGACATATTGAGACAAATGAGTGCTCATTACAATAAAAGCATCTTATCCATGAATGAAATATCTGAAGGTTTAAAGTCAGTAGTTCATCAATTACGAACACATGACAAATTAAAACCACCAAGTAAACCCTCAGAAACCAATAATAGTAAACCACAGAGTACCAAAGGTACTCCAAATCAATCTAGACAATATAATTCAACACCAAAGTGGAACAGTGGCAGTGTGGGCGTATATGCAGTGGGACCCTCCAAGCCTATAGTTACTGTGTCACCCAAGAACGTGACACCAAAGGGTACTGGAAGCTATGGAACATGTTTGTTCTGCAATGAGAAACATTCAATGTACCACTGCTCTAATTTTCCTGATAGTGACGCCCGTGTTGAGCGACTCAAAGATTTGCAACATTGCACGAGGTGCCTCAGGAAACATAACATCAAGGATTGTGATACCCAATTACACACCTGTAATAGGTGTAACAAAGGTCAGCACCATGCAGCATTGTGCAGAGACACCAAAACAACGTCTCCAAACCCCAAGGTGGAAGATAGCATTCCCACCACAGTACAGTACTGCAAGGTGCAACAAACAAAGAGTGTCCAATCGGCAAAGTCTAAAGGTAATACGACTTTGCCTACTGCCCAAATTACCATCCTGAATAAGAGGGCCAAGGTCCATACCCGTGGGTTGTTTGACCAAGGATCCCAGAGAACATATATCACCAAAAAGTTGGCAGATGAATTACAATTAAGGCCTGTAGCCCAGATGTCATTCAACATCTCAGGGTTTGTAACAGATGCAGGACCTCAAGTCTACCAGGTGGTACAACCATCAGTACGCTTAGGCAGGTACGTCTGTCGAGTACAAGCCATTGTGGTGGACAAAATACCAGTAGACCTACAAGTTCAAGGTCTGAGAGCAACAGCCAAATTCCTGAGAAATAGAGGAATAAAATTGGCAGATAATATTAAGTCTGATCACCTCACCGACTTCGGTCTCCTTGTAGGGACAGACTATTGCCATCGATTCATCGGTAGCCCTACTAAATATCAGGGTATAACCATGTTAAACTCTGCAGGAGGTAAATTACTCTCAGGCCCAGTATCAAGCCTGAGGAGACCTATGCCTGCAGATAAACAATACCAGTAGAAATCTAAATTTGTCAGCTGATTATATTTCTCCAGTAGCATTATACTAAGGAGATTACAGCTGACTATACCAACAGAGGTTGATGTTAGTATCATCATTTGAAGCTGAAGATGAGTTCATGAGGCCTCAGTGGCAAATCAGTGAACAGTAGCCTAAAACAGCTACAAGTCACTGCGACCAATGTCACTGAACCCACTGCAGTCTCAGAACCATACTTTACTTTAATGATGAGCTATTCAATCTTCTGAATCAATTAACTAAATTAAACCCCAATAAATCTGATGACTGATTTGATACATTTATTATTTAATCAAGATGTATTCCATGGGCCTCAGTGTTTATATATCAGTGACCAGTTACCTGAAGAAACTTCAAGTTATATCTAATGTCACTGATCTCACTGCAGTCCCTGAATCATACTTGACTGTAGTACTTGATCACATCCAGTCTTCTGGGTTAAATAATATGTAATAAGGCTTGAATATTAGCCTTTCAAGAGTTGACAGGGAAATGAAATCGCATTAGACTTCTAACCCCTGCAACTCTAGTACGGGACATCCGTCCTGTACGAACAGACACACAAATGTGTGATTACTAACTACTAACATCAAATTAATCTAATAATTCGAAGGAGGAGTATCGGTGTTCGTCTGTTCTAAATAGGACTTCGACCCGTGAGCAGCCCCCTGGGGAATTATGTCGGAAAATCCGACACCATTTAATATATCATACAGATAATAGCTGTGTTGTATAAACAAGTTACCCATAGAAAACGTAACTTGTAGTGGAATTACCGTCTAAAGAAAACGGGATATCATCACCACATACTATTATAATTCACCAGCTATTCTGCTGGGAATTATTCTTAAATACATTAGTCTTTGGACTTTACCATCATAAAAACATCTTATATAAATTAACTTAATTATCAATATTAAAGTAGAGTAAATGTGACCCTTCTATCACTTTCTGAAATCTGGACAAAGTAGGCCAGGCGTCAGGGAGGAAGGAGGGAGCCATTGTTGTGTCACCTCCGAGACGTGTGGAGCAAATTCGGCTCCTATCATTCTGGACAATGTCGGCCAGTAACGTCAATAGTATGGAGTGTTAAACAGCCATTGTTTATACTGAGACCAGAGGCTCACACGGGAGCAAATTCGGCTCCTGTTAATTTTACTTGGACGTAGTGTTATGGAAACCAAAGGTACCATCTCCAACACGATGTCTACATATCAAGTTAAGTGTCTATCCGAAACCCGTTTATCATTCATTTATGGCCATTAATGTCAGGATATAGGGTGACCCGGTTAGATCACGTGGAAGCCTCAAACTAAAGGTAATTAAGCCAGGTCTTCATGTTCCATGTACTGTATAGTGTTTTCTCTGATATAGCTTGTCATATATAGGATTCTGGCTTCACAGCTAGCGCACTTTTGACAGGTCAAGACGAGGATGGAAGATTTTGTGCACCAGTTACTGGGTGATATGGAAGCTACCTCAAAGAGGATAATTTGGTGTCTACACCCTAGTTATACCTGGTGGACTAACCTGCTGTACTATAAGATAAGGAACCTCTTCAATGTATGTAGTTAATTCTGTAGTTTGATTGGCTGCATATATATAAATTAATAAACCCCCCCCTAATGTGTAGAGGATCGATTTGTGAGATTATGAGATTATTGCAGAAATACAGTCCACTTATCATTATACAAATTGCTATCGAAGTATATAAATTAACGTAAATATAAATTCATATAAATTAAATAAATATAAATCTCACAGGTCGGTTCCCACAAATTCCTTAGGGGAAGGGAGGGAGGGGAAGACAACACCATGATCTAGGTGTATCTCGTGTAGAGTGTAGGTGGTGTAGGTAGCAATGCTCACTTTGTACATGGAGGGTGTAGGTGGTGGAGGTTGCAATGCTCACCTTGTACATGGAGGGTGTAGGTGGTGTAGGTTACAATGCTCACCTTGTACATGGAGGGTGTAGGTGGTGTAGGTTGTAATGCTCACCTTGTACATGGAGGGTGTAGGTGGTGGAGGTTGCAATGCTCACCTTGTACATGGAGGGTGTAGGTGGTGTAGGTTGCAATGCTCACCTTGTACATGGAGGGTGTAGGTGGTGGAGGTTGCAATGCTCACCTTGAACATGGAGGGTGTAGGTGGTGGAGGTTGCAATGCTCACCTTGTACATGGAGGGTGTAGGTGGTGGAGGTGTGCACATAGGGGTGTTTACGCACGCTGTGTATTGAGCAGGTGTAGTTGCCTCGGTCACCCCTTTCCACTCCACGAATCATCAGTGACCCATCAGTCTCCTGACTGAACCTGAAAGAGGTAATACCAGTAACTCAAGTGAATAACAACAAACAAACAAAAATTAAAATGAACAATGGATTGCTTTACTAAACAAATAAGAATTTTAGACTAAAAACACTTTACCTCTTAGAAGCATCAATATCAAAATGATTTCTAAATTGACTTGTAATGGTGGGAATGTGATATTCATCACTGAAGACGATTTATATCTCCAAATTAATGATGAATACACAATCACAAACTTACCTGCCGTCTTTCTCAATATGTCTGCCGTCAGTGGTCCAGGTGGGTGCAGGTGGCGGGCTGCCCACTGTCACACACACCAGTCTCACGTCTTCCCCCTGAGTGACCACCACCTTCCCACCCAGCGACGCCACCCCCGACGGAACTGAGGAAGGACACACACACACACACACATGGGATTGGGTGGTTATAGATAGGAGCTGCCTCGTATGGGCCAATAGGCCTTCTGCAGTTACCTTTGTTCTTATGTTCTTATGTTTATGTTCACACTCATCTATGTCACTTCAAGAGAAAGGGTTGACGTGCGTCTGTGTCCTCCACACGAACACAATTCTCTATAATCGGATTTAGTGTTAAGTTATTATTTATTTCAGAGGAGAAAAAGATTTGGCATCCAAGACCTTCAGGTAAGAATGGTTTGATACAAGCCGCTTGCAGGTGAGTCTGTTTGACACCATCCACCTTCTGGTGAGCCAGGTTTGACACCATCCACCTTCGGGTGAGCCAGGTTTGACACCATCCACCTTCTGGTGAGCCAGGTTTGACACCATCCACCTTCGGGTGAGCCAGGTTTGACACCATCCACCTTCGGGTGAGCCAGGTTTGACACCATCCACCTTCGGGTGAGCCAGGTTTGACACCATCCACCTTCGGGTGAGCCAGGTTTGACACCATCCACCTTCGGGTGAGCCAGATTCGACACCATCCACCTCCGGGTGAGTCAGGTTTGACACCATCCACCTTCAGGTGAGCCAGGTTTGACACCATCCACCTTCAGGTGAGCCAGGTTTGACACCATCCACCTTCAGGAGAGCCAGGTTTGACACCATCCACCTTCAGGTGAGCCAGGTTTGACACCATCCACCTTCAGGAGAGCCAGGTTTGACATTAAACACATGACACTGGCACTCAAAAAAAAGAAGTATCGGCAGGTCGAGAGTGCCACACTACCTTGTGCCTGGGCACTATTGAAGGCATCTTTAAGGTGCCATTACTCTCAATCCTGGACCAGGATTCATAAAGCCTCTCCACGAACCTGTACATCTTTCCTAATCATGGTGGCTTTGTTTACCTGTGTTAAGCAGTTTATGAGATACCGAAGCACTACGAGGTTGTTTACTGCAACAACAGCCTTGAGGGGGGGGGGGGGGTGATGTTTCCCAAGTGTCGTAAACTGCTTAATAAATAAAAAGTCGCCATGATTAACTTAAGATGCACAGGTTTCGTGAGAGGTCGGGGAAAGGTTTGATGGATCTTGGACCCTGGATGCCAGAGTGTTCGTCCTGGTCGTAGCACGTCTAGATATGTTAGTTCATGACATCACGAATCTCTAGATATGTGAATCAATTATTCTTTTACAATTATTGTTTAAGTCATTCATGAAAACAATATAAACATTGATATGATAAACAATGATATATATATGCATCTGTATATATATATATATATATATAGAAAATATATATATATATACATATATATATATATACATATATAATATATATATATATATATATATATATATATATATATATATATATATATATATATATATATATATATATATATATATAGAAAAAGCCCTCAATCTTTCCCTCAGCGACTCACAGTGGAAACAGGCCTCCCTTCCTGTCAGACTCGGGGGCCTTGGGGTGCGCACAGCAACACAAATTGCTGTACCAGCGTTCCTGTCCTCTTCAGTGGGGTCTGACAACTTGGTGAAGGAAATCCTACCTGAGCACCTAGTTCAACAGGAAGGGGTGCATGATCCCAGCTTCACAGACTGCACAACCAAATGGGTCTCTCTCGCAGGACCAGCACCCCAACCACCGCCTTCTGAAGCCCATAAGCAATCCAGCTGGGATCGCCCCATTGCCGATCAAGAAGCTGCAACTTTGCTAGAAGCTGCGACAACACCACATGACACTGCCCGACTTAGAGCTGTAGCAGCTCCCCATGCAGGTGATTTCCTATTAGCAACCCCAATGTCAGCAACCGGCACCCGTCTCACACCGCAGGCCCTCCGAATTGCCGTGGCTCTCCGCCTAGCTGCCCCAATCCACACCGAATACAGGTGTATTTGCGGCGAGGCAGAGGCCGACAGATATGGACGGCATGGCCTTCTTTGCCAAACGACGGGAGGATGGCATGCAAGACACGGCGAGGTTAATGACATTATTAAGAGAAGCCTTACCACAGCCGGTTGTCCAGCAGAGAGAGAGCCCCGTTACCTAATGTCCCGCAACTCTGATGAGCCTGTCGGTCGCCCAGACGGAATTACGGTGAACCCCTGGAAGAATGGTAGACAGTTGGTGTGGGACTACACTTGCGTTTCAACTTTAGCCAATACCTATGTTGACTTCGGTGCTACACAAGCAGGAGGAGCTGCCAATCACCGGGAAGCGGCCAAGTCACGTAAATACAGAGACCTTGAGCACCACTACAATTTTGTCCCCATTGCCTCAGAGACACTTGGTGCCTGGGGTAAAAGTGCTGCTAGCTTTTTGAAGGAGTTGGGGTCTAAGCTAATCGAAACAACTAGAGACCCTAGAGCTGCCAGTTTTCTTTTTCAGCGCCTTAGTGTGGCCATCCAGAGAGGAAATGCTCACTGCATCCACGGTTCCTGCCCGCCATCTGAGGAGCTGGAGGAGCTTTTCAACTTGTGACAAGCAGCCTTGTACCCTGCATGTAATCAATATTGTAACTTTTTTTGTGTAATGACATTTTCAAATAAAGTTTGATAAATATACACACTTAACAAAAGAATAGGGGTGGTAGGAGAAGAAAATATCAAAGTGTTCAGTGAGGATCCACAAGGTCTTCTCTGAGTACTCTTTATTTTCTTCTCCGAGGCATGGGTCCCTACACTTGCACCAGAGGTGGTACCCCTCCTATATATTTATATTTATATATATATATATATATATATATATATATATATATATATATATATATATATATATATATATATGTCGTACCTAGTAGCCAGAACGCACTTCTCAGCCTACTATGCAAGGACCGATTTGCCTAATAAGCCAAGTTTTCATGAATTAATGTTTTTTCGACTACCTAACCTACCTAACCTAACCTAACCTGACTTTTTCGGCTTCCTAACCTAACCTAACCTATAAAGATAGTTTTGTCGGAAAATCCGACACCATTTAATAATCATACAGATAATAGCTGTATTACCAACAAGTTACCCATAGAAAACGTAACTTGTAGTGGAATTACCGTCTAAAGAAAACGGGATATCATCACCACATACTATTATAATTCACCAGCTATTCTGCTGGGAATTATTCTTAAATACATTAGTCTTTGGACTTTACCATCATAAAAACATCTTATATAAATTAACTTAATTATCAATATTAAAGTAGAGTAAATGTGACCCTTCTATCACTTTCTGAAATCTGGACAAAGTAGGCCAGGCGTGAGTGAGGAAGGAGGGCAGCCATTGTTGAGGCTAGACCAGAGGCTCACACGGGAGCAAATTCGGCTCCTGTTAAATTTACTTGGACGTAGTGTTATGGAAACCAAAGGTGTACCATTTGTCAACACGCTGTCTACAAATTCAAGTTAAGTGTCTATCCGAAACCCGTTTATCATTCATTTATGGCCATTAATGTCAGGATATAGGGTGATCCAGTTAGATCACGTGGAAGCCTCAAACTAAAGGTAATTAAGCCAGGTCTTCATGTTCCATGTACTGTTTTCTCTGATATACTTGTCATATATAGGTATCTGGCTTCACAGCTAGCGCACTTTTGACAGGTCAAGACGAGGATGCAAGATTTTGTGCACCAGTTACTGGGTGATGGAAGCTGCCTCAAAGAGGATAATTTGGTGTCTACACCCTAGTTATACCTGGTGGACTAACCTGCTGTACTATAAGATAAGGAACCTCATCAATGTATGTAGCTATTACTGTAGTTTGATTGGCTGCATATATATTAATTTAATAACCCCCCCCTAATGTGTAGAGGATCGATTTGTGAGATTGAGATTATCGCAGAAATACAGTCCACTTATCATTATACAAATTGCTATCGAAGTATATAAATTAACGTAAATATATATTCATATAAATTAAATAAATATAAATCTCACAGGTCGGTTCCCACAAGGGTTGGTTAGGTTCGGTCATATATCTACGTTAATTTTAACTCCAATAAACAGAAATTGTCCTCATACATAATGATATGGGTAGCTTTATTATTTCATAAGAAAAAAATTAGAGAAAATATATTAATTCAGGAAAACTTGGCTTATTAGGCAAATCGAGCCTTGCATAGTAGGCCGAGAAGTACGTTCTGGCTACTAGGTACGACATATATATATATATATATATATATATATATATATATATATATATATATATATATATATATATATATATATATATATATATATATATATATATATATATTAAACTTTATCATATCAATGTTTATTTCGTAGTTTGTTTTATATTGTAGCTATCTACAGTGTCGTGGCCTTGTACTTACCTTGGTCAAGAACCGTGAGTTTCACTGTGGGAGTAGCAGGTCCTTCTCCCACCCTAGTACGAGCCGTCATCCAGAACTGATGGGTGCCGTGGGTGAGGTGGGTGAGAGTGTGGGAGTTGGCGTGGGCGTGGAGTGGGTGTTGAGACGGTGCCCGAGAGTGGGGTGGGCGGTGGTGGAGGGTATAGCCCAGGAGAAGACCCGTGGGTGGATGTGGAGGCAACCAGGTGAGGATGGCCGTGCCCACACCCAGCTGCAGTGCCCGGAGGCCCCCGGGGGCACCAGCCACTGTGGAAGGAAGGAGGAAAGGTAAGGGTTTAGGGTTTATCAAAGTGCCTTACTATACACAAAAATAAACCCAAAAACCATATATATATAAACCCAAAATCCTTTACATAAACCCATCCATCGCTTCAATTGCTTACTAGGATTACCTCAGGTGCTCCAACAGCTATGTGTAAACATTTATTTTCATCTGATTTGCTAATTTTTTAAGTCATGCGCACTTCGATGTTGCATGTGAAAAAAAACTGCGCCATTTAGGAGGTTAAACTCTGATAACTAAAAAGTCCAATAGTTCTACGTATAGATAATCTACAAAATATTTACGGTATATGTTGGTTAACTCAAAAGCCTTAACACTGGTGATTCAAAAGCTCCACAGTAAACAATAGAAACTCAAAAGACCTGTTGGTAAACATGAATTCCTCAAAAGCCTTATGGGTAAACATTATTTCCTCAAAAACTCCCCTTGTTCCACTCACGCATTTCAACTGATAAAAAATTCATAAAAATATATGATAACAATGAATCTCAGTTTGTGACATTCATTATCATATATTTCATATATGATAACAATGAATATATCATATGTTCCGAGAAAGTTACAGTGATCTGTATTTTCTCAGAAGATGAGAACGTACAGATCACTGTATTTTCACGTGTTGTTCCGCATAAGGTTCTTGCTCTCCAGTCTATTTCCCGATAATTGAAGTCTCCTATTATTAGGCGATTTGCTAATTCTATGAGCAGTAGGAGAGGGGCAAGACAATATATGCTCAAGACGTTAGCGGAGACAAGAGAGAAGAGGCTCTACCATCTTCCCTGGTGGTGCAGGTGAGGTCCGGGGAGGTCACGCCTGGCCCTGCTCGGGTCACAGCTGCTACCGTCACTGTGTAGTTGGTCCAGGGCCTAAGTCCGCCCACACTCTCCTCACGCCCACTGGTTATCCTCGTTAGCTCTTCAACCTCCTCTGTAGAAAACAGGCATAGAGAGAATGAGGGAACGAGAGGGAAAAGTGAGAAAGAAGAAGGTGCGTGTGAGATAGGGTTTACGTCAAGGGTGTGTGTGTGTGTGTGTGTAATTTATTTACATTTACATTGTGTGTGTGTGTGTGTGTGTGTGTGTGTGTGTGTGTAGTGAGATAAATGTTGTGTTCGAATCAGTTGGAGCTATGAATTTGAGAAGGTTTGTGAGGGATTTTGAGTGGCTTGTAAGTTCAACATCTGTGTAATTAAGGAGCCTTTATTTTGAAATTCATTTTAAATAGACTGAGCTTGGGATTTAGTTTAAGTTTGGGCGAGATGGGCGCATGAGTTAGTGAGAACTTCTGAGTTAGAGGAGTGCAACAGGTGTCAGGGTTGGTAAGAAGTCTTGAGAGCGTACAATAGTCTTTGCTGTATCCTAAGAACAACAGGAGAATATATTTTACATGTTATTCACAGCACATCTTCCTTACGAATTGAATGAATGGCTTTCACATGTTACCACTTATCTAAGTATGACTGTTACGAACTCTTTTTCTTGTTCACATATTGAATGAAAATTTCACATACTAAAACTGATAAGTTTTATTTTTAAAAGTAATCACATGCATTTTAATTTTATTTAGCCTTACTCTGCATTTATTAGTGATGATACGTAACACTGAAAGATATGAAGCCCCCAGGCAAGACTAGATACTTGACTATAGTGTCAAGTATCATGACTACAGCAAGACTAGACACTTGACTATAGTGTCAAGTATCTTGACTATAGCAAGACTAGACACTTGACTATAGTGTCAAGTATCATGACTACAGCAAGACTAGACACTTGACTATAGTGTCAAGTATCATGACTACAGCAAGACTAGACACTTGACTATAGTGTCAAGTATCATGACTACAGCAAGACTGGACACTTGACTATAGTGTCAAGTATCATGACTACAGCAAGACTAGACACTTGACTATAGTGCCAAGTATCATGACTACAGCAAGACTAGACACTTGACTATAGTGTCAAGTATCATGACTACAGCAAGACTAGACACTTGACTATAGTGTCAAGTATCATGACTATAGCAAGACTAGACACTTGACTATAGTGCCAAGTATCATGACTATAGCAAGACTAGACACTTGACTATAGTGCCAAGTATCATGACTACAGCAAGACTAGACACTTGACTATAGTGCCAAGTATCATGACTATAGCAAGACTAGACACTTGACTATAGTGCCAAGTATCATGACTACAGCAAGACTAGACACTTGACTATAGTGTCAAGTATCATGACTACAGCAAGACTAGACACTTGACTATAGTGCCAAGTATCATGACTACAGCAATACTGGTCACTTGACTATAGTGCCAAGTATCATGACTATAGCAAGACTAGACACTTGACTATAGTGCCAAGTATCATGACTACAGCAAGACTAGACACTTGACTATAGTGTCAAGTATCATGACTACAGCAAGACTAGACACTTGACTATAGTGTCAAGTATCATGACTATAGCAAGACTAGACACTTGACTATAGTGTCAAGTATCATGACTACAGCAAGACTAGACACTTGACTATAGTGTCAAGTATCATGACTACAGCAAGACTAGACACTTGACTATAGTGTCAAGTATCATGACTACAGCAAGACTAGACACTTGACTATAGTGCCAAGTATCATGACTACAGCAAGACTAGACACTTGACTATAGTGCCAAGTATCATGACTACAGCAAGACTAGACACTTGACTATAGTGCCAAGTATCATGACTACAGCAAGACTAGACACTTGACTATAGTGCCAAGTATCATGACTACAGCAAGACTAGACACTTGACTATAGTGTCAAGTATCATGACTACAGCAAGACTAGACACTTGACTATAGTGTCAAGTATCATGACTACAGCAAGACTAGACACTTGACTATAGTGTCAAGTATCATGACTACAGCAAGACTAGACACTTGACTATAGTGCCAAGTATCATGACTACAGCAAGACTAGACACTTGACTATAGTGCCAAGTATCATGACTACAGCAAGACTAGACACTTGACTATAGTGCCAAGTATCATGACTACAGCAAGACTAGACACTTGACTATAGTGTCAAGTATCATGACTACAGCAAGACTAGACACTTGACTATAGTGTCAAGTATCATGACTACAGCAAGACTAGACACTTGACTATAGTGTCAAGTATCATGACTACAGCAAGACTAGACACTTGACTATAGTGCCAAGTATCATGACTACAGCAAGACTAGACACTTGACTATAGTGCCAAGTATCATGACTACAGCAAGACTAGACACTTGACTATAGTGCCAAGTATCATGACTACAGCAAGACTAGACACTTGACTATAGTGCCAAGTATCATGACTACAGCAAGACTAGACACTTGACTATAGTGCCAAGTATCATGACTACAGCAAGACTAGACACTTGACTATAGTGCCAAGTATCATGACTACAGCAAGACTAGACACTTGACTATAGTGCCAAGTATCATGACTACAGCAAGACTAGACACTTGACTATAGTGCCAAGTATCATGACTACAGCAAGACTAGACACTTGACTATAGTGTCAAGTATCATGACTACAGCAAGACTAGATAGTGCAATTAGAAGCAAGGAAACTCCTGCTAGGTTGTTGACTCACCTGTCGAGTCGTCGAGTCGTGTGAGGGTGAGTCGATACCCTTGCAGGAGGCCATTGTGATCGACAGGAGATGGCGGCGCCCACCGCACCAACAGAGTAGACCCGCCCGCGCCCCCACTGCACTCCACACCCACAGGGGGCGCCGCCGGCACTGTCACACAAAGTATTCTTGATTAGTTAATTTTTTTTTTTGGTATTAAGCATTATGCCTATCAACCTCTGAAGGGTTATTAAAGCTCCACAAAAGTTTACTCACATTCAGCAACTTTGCTCGAGAACGATTCACTAAGCTGGCTGTACAAACCTCTATTAGGCAAGACCTGGGTAAGTACTGGTTAGGAGACAGGGTTGTTGATCTATGGAACTAATTACCGGGTAATAGACGCGGGATCTCTTGTTTGTTTCAAGCGTAGATTAGACACACACACACACACACACACACACACACACACACACATATATATATATATATATATATATATATATATATATATATATATATATATATATATATATATATATATATATATATATATATATTATATATATATTTGCTCTGTAGCAAAAAATCCCACAAACCCTCTCTAGGAAAAAAACAAACTCCAAAAACACTCTCCAAAGGAAAACAAATCACACAACCGAATCGAGTTTGTACGAGAACGTGAAATCCAGCTGATGGAGAGTTCACGCGACAATTTCGCAGACGTAAGAGACATTTTATTAAGCTCAGGCGAGAGTGAGAACGAGACCGGGAGCTGGGAGGGTGACAGCGACGCAGCGGGAAGCGTCACGTCAAAACACACTCGCTCTTCCCGCCAGATTAATATTGCAATAACGGCATTTGGCGCCGCTGACGAGCCGTCACTGTCCCGCCATCAACGGCCGTCTTCATGCACCAAATATGAGTGAAAACTGAAAGCTGTCTTTGTTGGGCTGACGTCTCGGCTAAAGTTTTAATTTGATTAAGAAAAGGAGAGGCCCTGGCAGTCGCGCACACACGCATACAATACACATCAAATATCAACTTCAACGTATGATCAGAGCCACGGTGACACTGAGGAAAAATAGTTCAATAGAAAACACAAAACAGCTTACTAGAGAGTGGCGCTTTGCCACCTGGACATGAACACTTTGTTTTCCCCCGACAGAAACGTGTGTGTGTGTGTGTGTGTGTGTGTGTGTGTGTGTGTGTGTCTGTGTGTGTGTGTGTGTGTGTGTGTGTGTGTGTGTGTGTGTGTTGTGTGTGTGTGTGTGTTGTGTGTGTGTACTCACCTAGTTGTGCTTACGGGGGTTGAGCTCTGGCTCTTTGGTCCCGCCTCTCAACCGTCAATCAACTGATGTACAGAATCCTGAGCCTACTGGGACATTTGTTCAGTCTGAAACATTTGTGAATTATTGTCCCCGGTCAATACTTGTAAGAGTGTATAGTGAGGGAAGTGTGGAGGCCAATACTGACCATCCTCCATTGTTCTGACCACCACTGGCGGGGACAGGGGGCCGGCGCCGTGGGAGTTGTACGCCCTCACCACCACGGCATACTGAACCCACGCTCGTAGGCCGCCCACGACCTCACGCCCGCCTCCGCCGCCGCCCACGCCCACCACGCTGAAGTTGTACGTCTCGTCGCCGGCCAAGCTGCAAGGAACGACGCGGTTAAGCTGCGTAACACCACTCAAACAATTACTTTAAAATCATAAGAAGTGAGGCACTTTTATAGAGAATATTATAATGTCAGGGACGCTTTGGTCAGCATGAAACACGTGTGTGTGTGTGTGTGTGTGTGTGTGTGTGTGTGTGTGTGTGTGTGTACTTACCTAATTGTACTTACCTAATTGTGCTTGCGGGGGTTGAGCTCTGGCTCTTTGGTCCCGCCTCTCAACCGTCAATCAACTGGTGTACAGATTCCTGAGCCTATTGGGCTCTATCATATCTACATTTGAAACTGTGAATGGAGTCAGCCTCCACCACATCACTTCCTAATGCATTCCATTTGCTAACTACTCTGACACTGAAAAAATTCTTTCTAACGTCTCTGTGGCTCATTTGGGTACTCAGCTTCCACCTGTGTCCCCTTGTTCGCGTCCCACCAAGAGTGTAAGAGTGTGTGTGTGTGTGTGTGTGTGTGTGTGTGTGTGTGTGTGTTTTTTACCCGTTCGCCTCCACGTACTCATGCCTTCTGACGCCAACGTTGAAGCCGAGGAGGTCTCCGTGGTGTGTGTGGGAGGGAGGCGGGTCCCACATCACTCTCAGGCTGGTGGGAGACAGGGCGTCTGCTCTCACGCTGGTGGGAGGGGCCGACGGGGCCTCTCCCTCAGTCCGGACCTGAAGGAGCAAGAACCAACACCCCAGATGCAACAATTATATACCTCCTCAACCTTAAAGATATCGCAGATCGAACAAAGGGAATATATAGCCAGGCTTGGTACAAGTTCCTTCTAGATTCGTTATATGAAACAGCTTTTTCAGGAGGGCATGAATCCTTGGAAGGTTCACTTTGGCTGACTTAGATTCATCTGATAATCTTTCCACCTCAATCCTTAAATTCTCATGCATAATAATCACACATTTAAGAAGCTTCAGGTCGATGTTACGTTTCTTTTAAGCCTTTTATGTCCAATTGAAAATTTCAAATAGATTACGATTTCTTCCCATTAATTCTGAATCAGCCTCGGATAGGAGTACATTTTCCCCATGAATCCCCATGATTCTAAGACCCTCCTCCATATCCAGCACTTGAGTCAATTACTCTAAACCATCGCCAGCACCTCCAGATCTAGTTGGAGCTATCTATAGGGACCTATAGCTCCCAGAGACATTCATTTGCCTCTGTCGGGGATCAAACCCGGGCCCTTAAGACTACGACCCCAGAGCGCTGTCCGCGAGACCCCTCTACCCATCGCCAGCACCCCCAGATCTAGAGAACACGAGACGGAGACTCACCTGAAGGGGTTCTGAATGTGGAGACGACCCGAGGTGGTTCGCTGCGAGGATCCTCACCAGGTACTGCGTGTCTGGCAACAAGGGCGCCAGCCTCGCCATCGTGATGTCGCCGCCCACGCCCACCTCCTCGCCCTCCGCCCACGACGCTACCGTGGGAGGGGAAAGAGAGAAGGAATGGGAGTGTTAGAGAAGGAGGTTAGTGATGGAGAGTTTCTCAAGTTGGACGAGAAGAGTTGCTCGGGTCCCCCACATCTGGAAGACAAAAGAAGAGTTTTTTAAATAGGGTTTGAAAGGTCGTGCCAGCACTCGTCTTGATGATGATGACTCGTGCTCCGCCACGAAGTCCATACGCCACGGAGATTCCATACAACACGTTGAATCTATACGTCAAAGGAAGTCTATACACCAGGGAGAGTCTATACACCAAGTAGAGTCTATAGACTAAACACACCCCACAAACCATGCCCCACACTCATCACCCCCGCAATAGAGAGCGAGGCAGCGTCAATAAATGTGTCACCCTACAATTGCCAGTTAAACGTGAACGAGAAGAATTAACGAACATAACTTTATTTAACGAGTCCATTACTCCATGGCACAGGAAATCTAGAAAACAAAACTTTATGAAATATCCGGAACGTCCGTCGTAAAAGCTTTTCCGTAGTGCGCAAATATAATCGATTAAGTATTTCCATTTGCTTGATTAACTTCCAAATGTTGCATGATCAGTTGCAAAATGAAACAGGAATGGTTGCAGTGCAATCTCCCACAATTTAGGATACAATGTACTGAATTAAAGAGTCATTACCAATAGTTACGAATTAGTTATAATTTTTTATATACATTTAATTAAAGCAGTACATAAGAGTGAGGAGCAATTAGACAATTATTTCAGTAGTTAATACGTATGCTGTGATTATAGGACGTTATTGTGAGTGGTGCGGTACACGCATGCGCACGGTACGTACCGCGTGATGGTTGACTATTGTACGCCTCTCCTACTGTGCTACGGTACAGCCCTCTGGCTGGTTTTCATGTCTTATCGGCTTGTTATGGTACATCCCTTCAGGTTGCTATGGTACGTCCCTCAAGCTGATTACGGTACATCTCTCTGGCTGGATACAGTATGTCCCTCTGGTTAGTTATGACACGTACCGCTAGCCTACCTAATAACTTGATGCTATGGTACATACGTCTAGCAAAGTATGGTACATTACTCTGGCTGTCTATTAATAACTCCTCTGGTTCATAATAGTATGTACTTACTGCTAGTTGTTGTTTGAAACTGCTAGCTGCGACAGGTAACTCTGCTAGCTGGGACACGTAACTCTGTTAGCTGCAACACGTAACTAGCTAACTAGCTAGCACTAATAAATACACCGAATTAGCTTTGAAAGGGACACCTGACTGGCAAAGATAGTCTACACGTAACTCACTGGTGATGACAGTTTACGCACACCTGGCTACGGTACACACATGTGCCTATAGTACGTACCTCTGGCAGGTTTGAACTGGACGATGTACTTGTCGACGGGTGTGTGGGTGGAGGCGGGCTGCAACCACGACACGATGAGATACTTCGACCCGCGCTCCGACACTCGAAGTCCGTGAGGCGACCCCGGCACGTCTGCAAGAGGGTTAAAGGGGACCTTGAATGGGTGATGTCGTGGAGGAAAGGGGGAGATAAGAGGTGTGATGCGGACCTCTCTTTTCCTCTCCCACCACCTGCCAATCCCAACCCCTTTCCCTTCTTCCCTCTTCCTTACCTACCTTGGACAACGAGCTTGACTAGGAAGGAGTCGGTGCCGTAGGTGTTTGAGGCTGTGCAGGCGAAGTCCCCGGCGTCCTCCATCTTGACGGAAGGGATAACCAGCTCGCCCCTAACCCCTCCAGGCTCCTCGCGAACCACGCTGGCAAGGGACACATAGAGACACATGATAGGTAATTGTTCCAGGAGATGGAAGGCGGGGTTGAATCCCAACTCGGGTTATCTCGGGTTGGGAATCTTCAGGGGGGCAAGAACGAGGGAAAAAACATTATTTCATCACTCACAGGAAATCAAGAGATGTAATCATCAGAAGGATTCATCGTTAAAAATCATCAGAGGAAATCGTCAGAAGGAATTATAAGAGGCAATCACCAGATGTAATCAGAGGGAATTTACTTCTGATGATGACATCTGATGATTCATTATTGCATCTGATGATTCTCTCTTATGATTGCCTCTGATTACTTATGATGATTACCTCTGATATCATCAGAGTGAGTCGTCAGAGGGAATCATCAGAGTGAATCATCAGAGGTACAATCATCAAAGTGAATCATCAGAGGGAAATCTCGAGAGGAAATCATCAGAGGGAAATCTCGAGTGGAAATCATCACCACTTCTGAAAAGTAATGAATGCTTGCATTTGATCTGGTAATATTGCGAGGCAAGAATGTACAATAAACTCTCTCTTGGTTTCAGTAGAGGTAAATGTGTGTGCTCACTGTGTGTGTGTGTGTGTGTGTGTTTATGCATGCTACTGGAGGAGAGTAAAAGATCGTCTTTTCATCTCAGTAACACTAAAAGTAAACAATTGGTAATTGGTAATATTTGGTAATTGAATATCTGTGTCACATAGCCACAGGAATACACAATAATGCTGACACACACACGCACACACACACGCACACACACACACACACACACACACACACACACACACACACACACACACACACACACACACACACACACACACACACACACACACACACACACACACACACACACACACACACACACACACACACACACACACACACACAAATTTATACTCCTTGCTAGATAGCAGAATATGCACAAATAACATTTTACTTTGGAAATAAGGTTAATATTTTTGTTATACTACGAAAAAGGTGACAAAAATATACATTTCTTGCAAGAAAACAACTGTAGCATTGTTGTATCCTCAACCTAACCTAAACTATCCTAATCTAGCCTAGCCTAGCCTAACCTAACCTGCCTTTACCTCACATAACCTATCCTATCCTTAGTTAACCTATCCTACCTAACTTAACCTAACTTGACTTAACTAAACCTAACCTATAACCTGCTTTTACCAAACCTATCATAACTGAACCTAAACTATCCCAACCAATCTTAACCTTAACTAATCATTCCTAACCTAGTCTGGCCTAACTTAACTGCCCTAACCTAATCTTAAAATAACCTAACCTAACCTAACCCAAACTAACCTAATTAAGAGCAGTTAGAGAAGACAGCAATCCATCAGACCCCACAACTCACTCTTCTCCTGCCTTAAAACACAGACCAACACTAATAAACACACCCACGATGTGTGTGTGTGTGTTTGAAAACTTGTCTCAATTCGCTAAGTGAGTTGCTATTTGTGTTTGGTTTAACCAGACCTGAGCCTCTCCTTGCTTGCTTGTCTGAGTGCCTGCCAGACATACTGTGTGGACGCACCACCTGGGAAAGCAGGTACACAAGCAAGGTGAGAAAAGTGGATAACTAACACAAATGCGACACAGAGAGATGTTATAGAGACTGGTGTAAGTGGCCCAGATGGTAATGAAAGGGGAATGAGGTAGGGAAGTGACGTGGTGGTAGAGTCTATACACAGCTTCAAAAGGAGATTTAACAGAGCCCAAAGAGTTTGGAAACGTATACACAGGTCGGAATAGGTTGAGAGACGGGGGCCCAGCCAGCCAATTAAAAGTATACATACACATACACAGACAGACAGACAGACAGACAGACAGACAGACAGACAGACAGACAGACAGACAGATACAAGAACTCTGATACAATTATAATCAGGAGGATATCTTGCCACATGTAAATATGAAGTTTATTCTCTCATTACTCCACTCCATAAGAAAAAAAGAATCCAGTTTTGCCTACCAGAGGCGAGTAGCCATCAGACATTTATGCATTAAAGTGTCTAATAAATGTCAATAAATCCGTCAAGATAAAGAAAAGATGTACAGGTTTCGAAGGAAAAGGCTTGATGAACCCCTGACCCAGAAACGTACCAACCCAAGCAACCCACCTAACCTATCGAGGCCAATACATATAAAGCGTCAAAACAACGGTTATCTTGAAGTTATCTTGAGATGATTTCGGGGATTTTTTTAGTGTCCCCGCGGCCCGGTCCTCGACCAGGCCTCCACCCCCAGGAAGCAGCCCGTGACAGCTGACTAACACCCAGGTTCCTATTTACTGCTAGGTAACAGGGGCATAGGGTGAAAGAAACTCTGCCCATTGTTTCTCGCCGGCGCCTGGGATCGAACCCAGGACCACAGGATCACAAGTCCAGCGTGCTGTCCGCTCGGCCGACCGGCTCCCGACTGAACTGTTCAGACTGAACAGACGGTGATTTAATTTGTAAACTAATAAGTCGCATTGTAAACAGATTGCTACATTACGTAAACAAATGCGACGAACTAAGTGAGATTACAACCTCAACAGACTGAACTAACTGAACAGACTGAATAGACTGAACAAACTGAACAGACTGAACAGACTGAACAGACTGAACAAACTGAACAACTGAACAGACTGAACAAACTGAACAGACTGAAAAAACTGAACAGACTGAACAAACTGAACAGACTGAACAAACTGAACAGATTGAACAGACTGAACCGACTAGTTTCTAAAGATAAAACCAAATTTTCCATCCGGGGATGCTGCAAGTAATTACTTTGAAATATTTTTAAGCACAGGAAAAAAATAGTAAAAAAAAAAATGTGGACGTATTAAATTTAATTTCGACAATAATGACATTATCATGGGAACTCGGAGCGAACTATTTTAATTTTC